ATCATGATGATGATCATCATCATCATCATTAACAGGTCGAATAGTAGTTAGATTTTTTACCTGTCATCGACTGTCATTCGGTTATCAAAAAAAAAAAAAAAATGTAGTAGTGGTAAATCATTCTGTCATTTAATGGTTGCTTTTTTTTTCTTCATTTACTTCCTGACAACGGAAAATAAACTACCCTTCGAACCATCACCACCAACACATTATTTTTTTTCGGTTAATAATTTTACATTAAATAAAAATATGAAAAAATTCAAGTTTTCATATCCTAAAATGATGAAAACAAAAAACAAAATGCTTCCTGTATTCTACCTATCTGAATGCTGCTGTTTGACATGTTTGTCATTCGATTCTATTCATTCTCAACAAGAATCATTAAAATAAATAAATAGGAAAATTTTAATGGATTTTCTTTCATCTTTTTTTCCAACTAATACCCGAATCAATTTTCGGTAAAGAATATTCATGGCTATAAACATAAACATTATCATCATCACTATGATCAATGTTTCATTATAAATATACAAATTTAATGAATGAATGAATCAAACAAAACAAAAAAACTGAACTAAAATGAATTTATAAGCTTTATAATAATAGCAAATATTTTTCCCCTTTTATTTATTTCAAACATTAGGTCAACAACATTATCATTGTTATTCATGGATCTATGAATGAATGAAAAACTGATATAAAAATAAAATTAGACCGGGTCAAACATATAAATATAGACACCACACACACATATACTCACCTCATCATTATCATCTTTTTCTCTCTTTATCTCTTGCTTTAATGTACCAAAAAAAAAAAAAAAAATGACAATAGATATCATAACAATCAATCTGTCACCTATTTCTACATAGATAGATGACAGATAAAAATTACCTTTTTGGAACGAACGAAAAACAACAAAAACCATATGATGAACCTTGAACCTTATCTTTGTTGTTGTTGTTGGAGAGAGAGAGACCATATATATGAATGCAGGATCGATCGATCCATAAATTTGACCTTAATTGTAAAATTTGTTTCGTTTTTTTTTTGGGTCGGGGTCAAAGCAAGAAGCAAAGAGAGAGAGAGAGCAAGGACATTATTTTCAATGGTAGGGTATCAGGGTATTTTGGATTCACATTTGGTTTATACACGGAAGATAATTTTTCATTCTTTTGTTAACGAAACAAAGATTGAAATGACCTCGGATAGATTTGGGTGTGAACCCGGCTTTACTCGGGTTAATGTTTTGTTTATGTTTTTTTTTTCATTCTATTTTGAGGTAAAAATATTTTATCATCATTCATTGAATTGAATTGAATTTTATTCAAAAATTAATTTGGTTTCAAAATTTTTTTTTCTCTCTCTTTTGCCGTTCTTTCTGGAAAAAAAAGGTTAATCACACACACGAATATGGGGGTGGAATGTGTTGATGTTATTATTGTCGAAATCCTAATTTTATTTTAAATATCTCAACCTCGATAGCCTTTCATACACACACACACACACACACGAACGCATATTGAGCATATCAACTATATGCGTTTAAATGTTGTTGTCGTTGTTGTTGTTTCGATCGAAAAAAAAATAGAACAAACAAACCCGAATGATGATGATGATGATGATGATGAAGTTGATGTGTTTATGATCTCTCTATCTTCAACAACAAGGGAAAAAAAGAACGGGATGAGTTAAGATGATGCGAAATGAGTTGATGAACCAAATTAAGTAAAAAAGAAAAAAAAAGATTTTCTTGCCTAAAATAATATTATGAATGATGAATGGCATCAATTTTTTTTTGAATTGAAAAACGAAAAGAAAAGAATGGGTGAATGAATTGAAAACAACAACAAAAAATTGATGTTATGACCTAAGATTAGCCGTTTTGGATAGTTTGGATCGAAATAGTGGATTCGAATTCGAATGTTTCGAAATATGTTCGATTTTTTTTTTTTTGTTACGTTTATGTTTTTGATTTGATAAAGTTTAAATTCTTGTGATGATGATAATTTCAATATTTTGAAACAAAGTCTAATTTTTTTTTTAATTTTCTTTCCAGAACAAACGAAAGAACGAACGAATGATGGTGACAATCTAGTTCAGGGATTTTCTCTTTGTAAATTTTATTTATTTATTTATTTTCATTCTATTTATTTTCCAATATTGAGGTTGATGATAATGATGATGGCAAACAACAACAAAAAAAAGATGGCTTAGTCCTTTTTTTCATTCGATTTGACCGAATTATTTATTTATTTTGATTCAATTGAAATATAATTAAATAAATGAAATGAAAAAAAAGGATAATTAGATAATATGACAATTTGTAAATGATCAACAAGTAGCTTTTTTGAAAAGGGTTAACAACAAAAAATTGTACAATTGAAAAAAACTGATGATTACAGATAATTAAAAATTAGCTTACGATTCTTTGACCGGATTGGAATTTTTTTTTCAAAATTAAATATCGATAAATTTTTCGATTATAAACAAAACGAGAAATGAAAAAAAAATAGTAGAATTCGATAGTGAAGAACAACACTATCGCGATAGTAAAAAGGCAACTAGCTATTAGTTTTGGTAGTGGTATCAATTTCTGTGCAGCGATTTTTTCTCTCAAGCAAAAAAGAAAACTTGCTCATTCGTGTGCGTGTGGTCTTTTCGATATCATTTTTGCTGTGATATTCGATACATTTTCGTTTCATTTACAATTTGGCTGTCGATGGTGAACTGTGTTTTTTTTTCGTTCGTTCGTTCGTTTGTTTTTTCTATTTGTTGCTGCTTGTTAACCTTTTTTCTTTTTTTGTCTTCAAAATAAATCATTTCACAATTATCGCACGTTTTTATCGTGTTTGAAAATATCATTGATTAAAGCTACTTGATTCGATTGTCATCGTTAGAAAAACAAAAATCAAATCATCATTTTTGTGAAGAAAAAGAATAGAATTCTGGTAAGTTTTTTATTTGGTTTTCTCAACCAAAAAATGATTCCATGTGAAAACTTTACTTTTCGTCACTGTTTTTTTTAAATGTATTTGTTTTGTTCATCACACAATATATATAAAAATATCGTCAAGGTTGTCGACAGGTGTGTGTTTGTGTATCTATGTAAATGTAAATTCCATATACCTCGAGAGTGGCAAAAAAAATCGACCATTTTTTTTGAAAAAAAAAATGTTGATGATGACGACAATTAATGATTGAAAAATTCAATCAAAAATAGAGACTTTGTGTGTGTGTGTGATTATCATCAGTATCTGATTCTCTTTCATCATCATCACCATTGTGTGTTTGGTTTTATTTTTTTCAGAACTTTTTATTTGTGCGTTTTTTTTTTCGAACGTTTGTGTCGGAAGAATGTGTTCGAATTTTTGGTTTCGAATGTTCGAATTCATTCGATTTGTTTGTTTATGATTTTTTTTTTGTTTTTTGAAAATAGTTCTTGATAGTCGTCATACTTGTAATTTCGTGGTTGCCTACCATTTGATTTTTACCATCAGCATCATCATCAACATCACTATCAATCATTGACATCATCCTTGTGTTTTGTGATTGATTTTTGATGATCATTCAACAATAATCAGAATGATACCGATTATCAATGATCAATAAATTTTTGTTTGTTTGTGTGTTTTAAGCTTATTGATTGTTTGTCTTTATTGTTCTTTACTCGTTTACTTTTAATTTTGATGACGATGAAAATTTTTGTTCCATTTCTTTGTTGTTAATTGTTTTTTGTTTCGAAGTAGATGAATGATGAAGGTTGAAAAAAAATATCAAGGTTTTTTTTTGTTCTTGGCTGCCTGGTTTTTTGTTGTTGTTGTATATGTTTGATTCTAATTCGATTCGAATCATTTGCTCATCTGTTACGTTTTAGTTTTTTTTTGCTTTTTGGTATTTTGTTTTTGTTTTTTGTCTCGACGATGAATGCATGCGTCGTTTTTTTTCTTCTTTGTATTCTAATCATCTGTCGTCATAAATGACATTCGTCATTTAGAAAAAAGCGAACTATAATCTTTCTGGCTGATGAAGAGCTAATAAATATTGTTGGTTTTCTATCAACCAAAAAAAAAAATTCAAATGATAAACCTAGATGACAAGGTCGAGGTGTTAGTGTTTTGGTTGATTGTGTAGGTCGGTCGGTTTATCTATGATTACTATAACTATTATCATACCGAAATCAGTAATGATATCAATTGTTGCAAATTTTTTTTATTTCATTTTAAATTTGTCATTGTTTATGTACTACGTATCATTTACACACCTATACGTACACAGGATTTAAATGCACTTATTTGACATTGATGTTTTCGAACTATTTCAACCCTTTTCATATATTAAACTTTGATAATTATCTGATTTTATATGATAAGGAAATTCCAAACATTTTTTTGTTGTTTGTTGTAAATTGATTTGTACACAAATGTAGTTGATAATAATTTCAATAAATAAGAGAAAAAATAATTCAAGGTTTTTTTCTGCTTATGTAAAATATGTCCTGGATTCGTTTCACATTTCCATCGTAATTATTGTGATCGATAGTATCGATTCTTCCAATCGAATTTAGAACATTTATTGAACATTTGTCGAGACATCCCAAAATATTATGAATCGATCATCAACAATCAAAGTAATGAACAAATTGGGATCGCCGCTCTGAATTTTTTGTTGTTTGTTGTCTATAGTATTTATTAGGATATAGAGGAGATAGGCCATGTGCTCTACACAAACGACATGACCTCATTAGTCATTACGTATGTAATATTTAAGTATGCATGTAGATGCGGTGTTTGTGTATGTTTGTGTGAATTATTGGGGACATGTTCTCTTTTGTTGTTCGCTTTTTTTTCGATGATTTTTTTTTTGATATATAAAGTTTGTTGTTTTGATAATGATGAGAGAACATATGAAAAACTATCATACATTGAAAAAAAAATAACTAAAGCATAGGCCACTTACGACACCCGATAGATAGATGGATATATTTGATAGATAATATAGAAAATAAAGGTCCAAAGTGCCCTGACCTCAACCTCAATGTCGACACATTTGGATTTTTATTTTTTTAAATAAAAAAAAGAACGATGATGTGAATGGCAATGACGACGAGGTGTGTGGACTGACTGTTTTTTTTCTTCAATTCATTCATTCATTCGTCTTTTTTTTCATTGTTGAGCAATTTCAGCCAAAATAAATGGCAGGGGCTATCTGTTTTTTTTTAAATTTTCGTTTCGGATAATTTTTCGATTTGTACCTTGACCTCATCCTCCTCCTCATCCTGTTCATTTTTTTGTGGGGGGTTTATTTCTGAATGATTTTTAACAAAGAAAGGTTATCTCTCAGTTTTGTTCGTTTTTTTGAGTGAGATTGGGTTCAATCCAGAAATTTTTAAATATTATAATTCTTTCGATCTTTATATAGAAAATGTGAAGAAGATAAAGTTCAGTTGAGTTCATTTCTTGTGTATTAATGCATAATAATAAAGAGAGAGAGAAAGAAACCAGAGCATCAAACTATTTAGATACACAAACAACATCAAGAATAAATGATATATGGGGTTTTGATGTGTTTGTGTGTGATGCTATGGTGGATGTTCAAATAACGATGATGATGAGAACATTCAACTTTAGGTCTCCTCTATGATGATGAGGGTGATGAGCAGTTTGGTTGGTTGGTTGGTTCATTTTGTAGATTGACCGGATCCAACCATTGTAGAAGAAAAGAATGTCGTCTGCATTGCATCTATTTTTTTTCCATTGCTTCATTGTTTTATTCTTCAAACAAACATTCGAAAGTGTCATGCCCTTTTTTTGTTTTTGTTTGATCTTATAAAAATTCCATAGTGGTGGTGGTGGTGGTTAGTTCTGTTGTTGAATTCTGGTTCTGAATTCTTTTATCGGATAATGTCGATGACTTTTTATGATTTTGGAAAGAGAGGTAGAAAAATTCTTTATCTCTAAATCATCTATTGAGAATGTAGAATTTCATTTTGAAAATTTGATTCTTCTTAGTAATTTAAAATCCTGTTCTGTTCTTAAGTCTTTTGTTTGATCAATTTTTTTTAAATGATGCAGTGGCGCTGGTATTTTTTTAAAAAATGGTTTGATGTCCTCGAGTTCACCTTTGACAGTTGGAGTATTATCGCTTGTTTGCTTGTGAACAAAAAAAAACCTGCACTACTAAATGCTTTGTGTTCAGCCTGATTTGAATCAATAATGATGATGATCAGTGTCCTCGAATATGGTCTTTTTGGGCAAAAATATTATTTACTGATGGCTTAAATATATGCGCGCGCTTAAAGTTTTTTTGATTTCTTTTCTTTTTCTCTCAATTTTCCTTCAAAAAAAATTCGATCTTGCTCATTACACACAACCGACAAACTTACACACACGATATATTGATGTGTTGACCTCTTCGGGGGCCATTTCATCGTCATCATCATCATCATCATCAACATCAAAATCATTTTCATGAATTTCGCCCAATCCAATGTGAATTGTATTGTATTGTATTTGGTAGTTGTTAAGCTGAATGAATGAAAGAATGAAAGAAAAGAAAACAGAAGGCCATTTGGATAAAAAAAAATAGGAGTAGTAACAGCGAAGAATGATATTAAAAATAGCAGTAGCATTTATTAAGGATACATGTTTTTTGAGTGATGTCGAGGTCGAATGAGGATTTTTCTGTAAAAACACATAAATGGTATATGAGTAGTAGTTGTAGTGGTGAATGGTGAGAGATGGGGGCAAAAAATTGATGAGGGAGCAAAAAAAATTATCCTTAACTTATGAATGGTGAATTGAATCAATTTTTGCGCTCAATAGTCGACAGCAACATTTTTATTTTAGCCAATTTGAGCTTTTGATTCAAAAAACGACGACGTCTGGCTGGCTGTCTTTTGCTATTCCATTTTTATTTGTCTCTTTTTTTCTGTGTGCATATAAAACATTGAATGAATTTGATTTTTTTTTAGATTAATAATAGAAATATGTTCTTATTTTTTGTCATTTCTTTCTCTTTTTCTTCATCATTGATTGGTGTATGTAGAACAAATTGATCCATCATCATCGATATTTCTGTTTCTCTCTTCAAATAACAATAATCAAAAGAAGAAGAAAAAAAAATTAATCATCATCAATTTTTTGTGCTAATTTTATATCTACTGAACACACATAAACACACGCATATATTGATCCAAATCATCTGTTATTTTTTTTTGTGTGTGTGTGTTCAGTAGATTGTTTTTTTCTGGCCTGAATTCTACCTCTAAAGTGATTTACAAATAAAGAAGAATTTTCCATTGGAAACAAGATTATCCATAATTTCGTAAATTTGAAATTTTTCAAATAAATTATCTTATAAAAACATCAAAAACGGAAGCCTCTTCGGGAAGCAGTATTGGTGGTGGTGGCGCCGGCGGAAGTAATGGTGCGGCTGGTTGCGGAATAAATAGTTCGATTGGATCGAATAGTATGAGCTCTAGTAGCAGTAGTAATAATAATGCCTCAACGGCATCAAGAGCGCCATCGCCACCACCAAATTCTGAAACGAATTCACCGGTGGCCGAAAGCTGGTGCTACACACAAGTCAAAGTGATCAAATTCTCATACATGTGGACAATCAATAATTTTAGCTTTTGTCGTGAAGAGATGGGCGAAGTGTTAAAATCATCAACATTTTCTGCCGGCACCAATGATAAACTTAAATGGTGTTTACGTGTCAATCCAAAAGGATTGGATGAAGAAAGTAAAGATTATCTTTCATTATATTTATTACTAGTCTCATGTAATAAAACCGAAGTTCGAGCAAAATTTAAATTTTCAATACTTAATGCCAAACGTGAAGAAACCAAAGCGATGGGTTCGTATATAATTTAATTTATTTTAAAAATATATTTAACTGATTTGGATTTTTGTTGAATCATGAAAAATTATAGAAAGTCAGCGTGCATATCGTTTTGTCCAAGGAAAAGATTGGGGTTTTAAAAAATTTATTCGTCGAGATTTTTTACTAGACGAAGCAAACGGGTTATTACCAGATGATAAGCTAACGCTATATTGTGAAGTAATTTTACCATTTTTCTTTTTTTTATTGAACTAATTTTTTTCTTGATTAATAGGTTAGCGTCGTAGCTGATTCTGTCAACATATCCGGACAAAGTAATTCGATACAATTCAAAGTACCTGAATGTAGTCTATCGGATGATCTATCACAATTGTTCGAAAGTCAAAAATTTAGTGATGTAATATTGTGTGTGAATAAGAAAGAATTCTATGCCCATAAAGCTATTTTAGCGGCAAGATCACCAGTGTTTGCCGCAATGTTTCAACATGATCTTGCAGAGAAGAAACAAAACAGGGTAGACATTACTGATATGGAACCCGAAGTTTTAAGAGAAATGTTGAGATTTATTTATACGGGCAAAGCACCAGCATTGGATAAACTTGATGCCGATCTTTTAGCGGCTGCTGATAAAGTATGTTTTGATAGTTTAATGAATTTTACTTATTCTTGTTATTTATTATCATTGATGAACAGTATGATCTCGAAAGATTGAAAGTAATGTGTGAAGAATCACTTTGTTCGAATTTATCCGTCGAAACGGCAGCCGATGTTCTTGTTCTTGCAGATATGCATAGCGCTAGCCAACTGAAAGCTTATGTCATCGAATTTATTAATACGTAAGTTGATTTCTTTTTTATTTGTTCATTGGCAATCCATATCCCTATTCCAATGTTTCGATTCATTCATTTTAATGCATTGAGACATTAATTTCCTATAAATTTTTTCTATGTGCTTTTAATCGTTTTGAATATTCTCTTGATTAATGATCAAAAGTTTTGCTAATAACAATAGCCATGCTACGGACATAATGGAAACAACTGGTTGGAAAAATATGATACAACGGCAGCCACATTTAATTGCTGAAACATTTAAGGCATTGGTCACACAACAGATGCCACCAATGGGTCCACCAAGAAAACGTGTCAAACAAACATGAAATAACATTGACGAATAATAACCAACCGATCAACTTTATATGTGTGTGTATGTGTATGTGTCTACCTGTCATTGTATGTCCACTCTCAACAATCATAGCTCGACAAAATCATCATTATCTCAACAACAACAAAATCGACACCACTACCCAATATCATAATTATACCGAAATCCAGTCCAATCAATTCACATTCGGTCATTCTCACTTGTTCAGCCATCATCATCAAAGTTGTCGCCAGCCAATATGAATTTTACAGTGATTCTTTTTAACCAATTACGTCGAGAAAGATGAAAAATTTTTTTTTTTGCTTCGGTCATGAACTTGTTGTTTGACCATCATCAAATCATTAAGCCAGTACCTTTTCTCATTTAATCTTTAGCCGCCTCTTTTTTTCTATTTAGCTCTCTATAAATATATCTTTAATTAATTAATTTTTTTTTGATGTAAATAACTTTTTTTGTTTCAATGTCCCAACACACCTACCTACATACATACATTAATTATCGCTAGGATACCCTATTCCCATACAAACACACATTCATAACACTAGGAATTTCTATTTGATAATTATCCTATTTGATTCTAATATGTAAATTTATTAATGGTATACTCTTTCTCTTTCTCTCTCATAATATTTATCTATGTATTGATGTTCACATTTGTTTGGATGGGGAAGGGAAGATATGATGATTGTAATTGTTGTTGTGTTCATTAGTATTATCATCATCAACATTAGTATTATCTGAAAGAATTTGTGGTTTGAAGATCTGTCATCAGCAACACATCCAACCAACCCCCACCACCACCATCATCAAACAAAGACATCATCGAATCAATTGATGAATGAGTGATGAATAGAAGAAGAAAATCGAAAGAGAGATAGTGAAGAAAAGATTTGATTTGTTTCAATCTCAACAAAATGCAATATTTAAATGAATTTTTTTTCCAAATTATCAACACAACAAATCATTCATATGAATGATGTTCATCATCAAAAAACTCGAATCGAGTTTAAATTGTCCCAAATCATTGTTTTTTTTTAAATTATAAACACAAATACACACACACAAAAGAAGAAATTTTATTTTGTCTTAACCTAATCATCATCATCATCATCAATGATCATCATTATGGAAAAAAACAATATGAATCAGTTTTCCAATCTTGTCAATTCTTGACCTTTAAAATTTTTTTTTCTTGGCTTTTGATTCTTGATCTTATATCACACACATAATCAAGTCTTTTCTGTTTTGGCCGGGCATTCTGCCTGGTATATATGTCATATAAAAGCCTTCCCTTTTAACCCCCATCAATTTTTTGTTTGTTTGATTTTTTTTCCCCATTTTGATTTCAGATTTTTTGTTCTTCACACAAAAGTATTATATCATTTTTTTGTGGTGATTTTTTTTTCCAACAACATCAACAACAACAAAACAGATCTCTTTTTTTCTTGATTCAATTTTTTTTTAATTTTGTAAAGTTTTTTGTTTCTTTTATTTTACATCATTGATTGACCACAAAAGTACATAAAATACACTTGTAAACCACCCACACACAAGACGATTGCTGAAACTTTTGATTCATTTTTCTCTCTTTCGATTTTTTTTTTCTCTTTCTTTTCAATTCACTTCATTCTCATTCTTATTCATCATCATCATCAACAACAACATTATTTTGATTAAATTAAACAACTTTTTTCTTGTTTTTTTTCGATGAATTAAAAAAAATCATTATTTGTATTTAATTAATTTAAGAAGGAATTACTGTGAAAATTCACAAATGACGTATCGATTCGGGGATATATTTTTAGCATCGATAATAATGGGAAGCGGGGTTGGTAGATTTTTTTTTCAATTTCAATTTGGAAAAGTAATTTCTCGGGCCACACATGCTCGACGACAAGACACCATTTCACAAGGGTAAAAATTATCGAATTAAAAATAAAGGAAAAAGATTCGTCATTCGAAATCTATATGTTGGACATTTATTATCAACGACAACGACGTCGACGCAATTCTGAAATTCTTGGTTTATATGAATTTTTCGATCGTTTTTTATTTCTCTTTTCGTTCAGTGGATTCATTTCATTTTTGTTTGTACAATTATATGGTAATGTGCAACCAAAAACAAACTTCTATAGCATTTTGCTTAAATCTTTGAAATGAATTTTTTTGTTTGTTTTGTTTGTTTTCATCAAGAAATAGTAAATTCGTGAACCGGAAGAGGGCGCTATCGAATAATCTTGAATGAGAAAAAAAAAGAGTCTGTGTTATTATTTGGTGTGTATCAAAATCACCTCCTTGTTCATTTTTTTTGTATTATTCGTTTTGATTTTGATTTTGATTTTAAAAAAACAAATCTTATTTCAAATCTTATTCTATTTCGTCCATCAATTTACAGTGTGCGTGTGTAAATCTATCTCAAACAAAACAGGATAGGATCGAAAGAAATTTGTGTGGGAAGCGAAAAAACGTAAACAATATCTCAAGTGATTCAGGCTCAAATTGTCATTCGTTTTGTTGTTGTTGTTGTTTTCTATCGGTCAATTTCAGGAAGATAAACAATCTTAATTTTCGAAAATAACAAGAATAATATTTTTTTCGGGAAAATTTCGCTTTCAATTTGATTATTCCGGTTTCCTTTCAATGATTGTGGATTGAAGAAATCATCAATTTTGTTTCCCTTGCCAATTGATAATTGAATTCTTATGGTTTTGACATTTTCATCAAATTGATTAATCAATTGATTGATTGATCATCATTCACCAATCATCATCACCATTATCGTAATTATCATCAATCGCCATTATCAATCCAATCCTTTCTTTGATTAAAGCAATAATATTATCAATCAGCTGATAATGTAAATGATTGTAAATTTCCTACAAAAAGAAACAAGCAATATCCTCTTTATAAAACACGAAACACTGCAAAAAAAAATCTCATCTCTCAAAAAATAATTTCAATCAATGAATGCGGATTATTTCATTTGTTGATCGTTTTTTAAATGTTGTTTGGTTGAATGAATGAAGAAAATGTCAACAACATTGATTGAACAAGATATAAATAAACAAAACAAATCAATTGATGATGTTTCTACAAATGATCAACAACAACAACAACAACAACAACAACAACGACGATCATCATCATCATCATTACATTGTCGTCAATCGAATGATGGTAAAATTATAATTTTTAATTAAAAAAAATAAATTAAAATTTCTTATCATTTTTTTTCATAATATTTAAATTTTATAGCTACATCAATTAAAGATGATAGTCATCATAGTAAATTATCATTATCATCATCATCATTATCAAAGAAAAAGAAACCACCACCATTACAAGTATGTATGAATTGGATGATTTGAATGAATAAGAGATTTTGAAAACAGGAAAACAAAAATTTGGAAACAAAATTATAAAATTTTAGGGATAACATTAGATGAATTCTGGATTCTTGTTTAGTTTTTTTTATTTACGGAATATGGTTTTTTTATGTTTTTGTTTGTTATAGATTATGGATAATAGTAATGTACCATTATCTGGTGGTCGTGGCAGTATCGATGATCCAAAAACACCCAATACACCTGGTCCATTATCGGCTGAATCAAAATTACGTAAACAATTGGAAAAAGAACGAAAAATTGGTCATCGAAGAGTGGATGAAGAAGGACAAGTTACATATAAAAAATTTCCAACCACACAGATTATGGGATCAATACAATTAGGTATTGGTCATACTGTCGGTTCATTAGCATCAAAACCAGAACGTGATTTATTAATGAAAGATTTTATGGAAATTGAATTAGTACAATTTAATAAAGAAGGTTCACAAACAACACCGGCTCATCATTATAGTGATTTTAAATTTAAAGTATATGCACCGATTGCTTTTCGTTATTTTCGTGATCTATTCGGTATACAACCGGATGATTATCTATTATCATTATGTAATGAACCATTACGTGAACTATCAAATCCTGGTGCTTCAGGCAGTGTTTTCTATCTAACATTTGATGATAATTTTATTATTAAAACTGTTCAACATAAAGAAGCAGAATTTCTACTTAAATTATTACCCGGCTATTATATGGTATGTTTTGCTGTTGTTGTTGTTGTTGTTATTATTGATGTTTTTTTTCTCGTTCTTTAATTCCAAATAAATATATCATTATAGAATCTGAATCAAAATCCACGTACATTACTGCCAAAATTTTTTGGACAATATTGTTATATTTGTGGTGGAAAAAATGTTCGTTTTGTTGTTATGAATAATCTATTGCCAAGTTATGTTAAAATGCATCAAAAATATGATCTAAAAGGTTCAACATATAAACGTAAAGCAAATAAATATGAACGACAAAAAACATCACCAACATATAAAGATTTAGATTTTATTGATCATCATCCTGAAGGCATATATCTTGAAGTTGATACATATAATGCATTGATTAAAACAATGCAACGTGATTGTCGTGTATTGGAAAGTTTTAAAATAATGGATTATTCACTTTTGGTTGGTGTACATAATCTTGATCAATCGGCCAAAGAAAAAGAAGAACGTTATCGTGCTCAAGCTGAACAAGCAGCATTAGAATTATGTAAAAATTCAGATACAAATCAATTGGATAATATCAATCAAAAACAATCATGTCTTGTGAGGCAAAAATCAACGAATAAACAGCGAATAGCTGCATTTTCCACTGCACTTGAATCAATACAAGCCGAAATCGATCCTATCGATCAAGAAGAGGATATTCCGTATGTTCATTTTTTTTAATATTAAAAAAAAAAATATTAAAAGAGAGAATTTATTTTTGAAAACAATTTTTTTTTTTAAACAATCATTCAATTCAGACCGGGTGGAATACCAGCCCGAAATTCACAAGGCGAACGTTTATTATTATATGTCGGTATTATTGATATTTTACAAAGTTATCGTTTACGAAAAAAATTAGAACATACATGGAAATCAGTATTACATGATGGTGATACAATTTCAGTACATAGGCCCGGTTTTTATGCTCAACGTTTTCATGATTTTATGAGTACAAAAGTATTTCGAAAAATTCCATCACGTAAGTTTTACTTACTTTTTTCTTTTTTTGAAAAAATTGATTCTTTTTTTCTATTATTAAATTCATTGATATCATAAACTTTCGCACACTTTTCAATTCACATAATCGACATAACTTTTATTCTTTTCTCTCTCTTTCTTTTTCAAATGTTTTTTTTTCTTCTTTTCGTTTTTTTCTCACATTAACAAACCTTTTAATGCTTCCTAACCAAAAAAAAATCAATTTTTTTTTATTATTACAAAATCACTACTTATCCACTGTTCTACTGCTACTTTCGAAACAAAAATTTAAAAAAAACTTTAAAAAAACTTTAAACCAAATAAAATCCATCAGTCGATTTGCCCGAAATCAAAGGTCAACATCGAAAATTTCGTAATTTGGTTACAAGTTACATAGGTCTCGGTATGTTGTTTGTTTGTTCCTATGTTTTTTTTTCTTTTCTGTTTTGTCATTTTTTTGATTTGTTGTTCTGTGGAATGTTTGATAATATTTTCTTCTTCTTCTTTCTCTCTCTTTCTCTAATTTTGTTTGTTTATGATTATTGATGATCGTATGGTTGTTATCATGTTGTTCGTTTTCGACATTTTATAATTTAATCCTTTCTTTGTCATTTCCAATTTCGTTTTCATTCATTCATTCATTGCGACCAATGTCAATTTATTTCCTTGAAACACAAAAACAAAACAAATTCCAATTGCATCTTGATATTCATCGAATTCCTGTATTTTGCGATCTTTCCTGCATTCTTTTCAAAATTCTTTTACCATAAAAATAGCACTGAATAAACCATCCAATAAACGACCACCAATAATCACCGCCAATCATAATAATACTAGTCAAATGTTAAATAATAATAATCAAAATCAAACATCTTCTATTACTAATAATAATAATGATAATAATATTCACGAAAAATCTTACTCGGTTATCGGTGAGAATTTTCTGTTGTTTTTTTCTTACACTTTTTTTTGTTTACTAATTGCTCGATTAGTTTTGGAAATTTTAAATTCTTTCGTTTTTTTTTAAATTGAAATGTTTTTTTTCACTGGTTCATATTGATTAATTAATTGATTTTATTTTGATACAATTCCTTCCTTAAAAAACAGGTATGACACAACCGAAAACGAATCATAATAAACCGCCAATACAATCATCAAATACAAATGTTAATACAAATTCACAACCAAATTCAATTCGTTATAGTTTTAGCAGTGGTATTGATAATTCAAATAAATATCTTAAAACTGCTGTTATTAAACAGACTGTTAATAAACAACAATCAATAATACAAAGTGTGATCCAAAAACAACAATTACAACAACAACAACAACAACAATTTATTAATGATCAGAAGTAGGTTGGTTTAATGTTTCGAATATTTCATTATTATTTTAATCATTCAAATTTATCATATCAATGATTCAAAAATGATTGAACATTTTTTGTTTTTTCGGTTTTTCATTTTGGTTCGATCATTGATTGATATGAAATCTTTATTATTTTTTTCTATTATTATAAATTAGTCATCCGGAATATGAATCAACGGTAAATAGTTCTGGTTCATTTGCATCATCCGGTCTGGGTAGTAGTACACTTCGTAGCAATATTACATGGACACCACCGCATAGTATTGGTACGGCAACACCAACACATACTGAAGGAACACCATCATTGACTGAATCAAGTGAAAGTGAATGTAAATTTTTTGATTTTTTAATTTTAAAATTTCGATGAAATTAATTTTTTTTTTCTCATTAATATAGATTATCCAACAACACCGATACGAATGTTACGTCATAAAATGAATCATCATAATCAATCATCAAATCATTCACGTTCGATAAAAAATGAACAAAATATTGATGATAAGAATGTAGATGAAGAAGAAGAAGAAGAAGAAGTGGTATGTACAATCATTCAACAACAACAATAACCAACAACACCAATCATCAAATGGCTTTTAACCTGTGACTTTTATTCCTACTACAACAACAACAATGATAAGATCCGGTTGTGAAATATGACAACCATAATTAAATAAACGAAATGCCATTGAATAAATTAAGGAAGAAGAATCTGTATTGCGCTTAATTACTTATCATATTCTTGAAAGTTCAATATTCTTGAACTTTCATTGTTTTTTTTTCTGTCTTTCTATATGTGTGTCTGCGTGTGTTTGTTTGTATTTAATTGTCTTTCATTTTATTTTATCAATCTTTTTCTCTTCGAAAATTTCCATATTATTCATCGCACATCACAAACGACCAATACAACCATTTCCTTTTCTGTCTTATTATATTAATAATCTTTATTATTATTATTATTAAAAAAACGTAAAAGGAGTCGAATCTTAAATTCCGTATGTGAATTATTTGTTTTTTAATCTGAATGCTTTTCTCAACTAGCAATAGAATGACAGATTCTTGTTTTGTTTGTTTTAGTTGTTGTTGTCGTTATTTTCCATTTTTTTTAATTAACAAATAATTTTTTTTTCATTTATATTCAATGTTGATGATTGTCTCTAATTATTATTTTCATTTCTTTTCTATTGTCTTTGTCTTTTCCGTTGTTTTTTGTCCAATTTAAGAATTCAACAAATCAACCATTAATTGATTATATTACATCAACAACATTACAACGTGCAATGACACCGATACTATCGACCATTACTGAAGATTGATCGGAATTATTATTTGCATTTCCACAATGGGAAATGAATAATATTTTTCATTCACAACTGTTGGACCACATTCATTCTTTATCTGTGTGTGTTTTTTTCCTGAAATTTTTTGTTTTTTAGTTGAAAATTTTAAATCTATAAAATTCGTGATAATTCATCATCATTATTGTCATCATTTGTTGTTGTTGTCTTTAATTGTTCAAATATCATCAATTTTGCTAGAAACTATTCACTGAAAACTGTTCATTTCCTTCATTATTTGTAAATTAATTCTCCTTGAAATGATTTCCATGTATTTTACTTGTGTGTCTGTTTTTTGTTTTGATTTTTATTTCCAGTTCCTATTTATATTTGATGTTTTGTTTTTCTTTTCCATTTTGATTAAATTCATTCGAAATATCATTCAGCACAAAATACACAATCATTAATTATAAAATTAACAACAAAAAATCAATTCTAACTCCCTTTTCATTTTCTTCCCATTTTTAAAGACTCGATTATGATGATGATTGATGTATATTCGAAGCGACCGAGAAAAAAACCTCCTGAACCAAATCCCTTTCTTACCCAAAACTGAAACAAAAAAAAACAAAACAAAAGCCATCAATGAGTGCAGCTATGATGAATTATGACAACAACAACATCACTATTTTCAAGCAATAAATTCAAAAGCCAAAAATTCATTTTTTTCTTATGACATTGTTGTGTGTGTGACAAAGGTGATATTTGTAAAATTTAAACACACAAGCAACAACATTAAAGTTTTTATTCCGAAATTTTTATTTGAAAAACAACACAAAAAAAAATTCTTAGAAATTCTTATCCTTATGATGATGATGATGATGATTCACACAATCAATAATTCTCAATGACAAATGTATTGTCGTCATCATTTATTATCATAAAACAAAATAAAACAAACAAACTGTTTAGTTTAAGATAAGATTAACTGCTATAAGTGTCAGCAGTATAAGACGGTTTTAGAAGAAATTCATTAGAAATTCAACCACAGAAAAAACACACACCCACCCACAATCAAACCGTAACCACCAAAAATACATACCCGCTACTATATTTAAAAAAACAACAACAAAAAACACTTATGACGCCAATCATATACTGTAAAATGATAGCTGAATACACACAAAAAAAACCACAACCAAAGATGTTTTTGTTCTTCACATTAATTTTCCTTGTCAAAAACGATCATGTTTTTTTTATTAGTTACGTCGAACGAGCGAATGTCGTTCGCGTGTTCCCATAAATATGCGTATTGGTAACAAAAAAGTTCAGTATTCATCTAAAAAAACACTTATCCAATCACGAGTTATTCTGATTTTCATTTTGTTTTGTATGTTTTTCAGAGATAAATTACTTTACTTTTCCATCTTCTGCTGCCATCGTTATCGATTGAGAAAAGCTTATTATTATTAAATAATTATTGGAATTAATTTTGGATTGAAAACTTTTTTTTTAATGATAACAAAAATGTATTTGTTGTTGTTTACAAGGAAACATTTATAGTTTGACACACACACACAAGTTACAGTAGTTTTAACTAACTACGCCTTTAACTCATCTTTAAAAGAAAAAAGATTTAGGAAGAAAAAAATAAATTAGAGAAATGTCCCCGTATTACGTAAACATTTTTAAATAATAATTTGTTCCTAGATGCAATTATCACTTGTTGAATAGTTTGTTTGTTTATTAAGTTGTTGATAAAATGAGAAATATCTTTCAAGATCATCTAGTTTTTCATTTTGTTGTTGTTGTTGTTTACGAAAAGATGCTGTTATCCCTGAAATTTTGTTGATCTGATTAAATTTCCGAAAAAAAGAGAGAGAAATTAATCGATTCACATAATTATCATCATCATCATTAAATGAATTCATTATCATTCCAATATAGGAAAATCATCATATCGTTTTTTTTCGTATGCTTTATCCTTGAAAATAGATAATATTTTTTTTCCAAAAGGCACAACATTTGTATTTTTTATTAAAATTATCTAATTTCAGATAACCAATGTAATTAATTGAAAATGATTATCTAATCTGTATTTGTAATTTGTTCATCAATATTCCTATATATATTTCCTAATCGATTCTGTTTGTTTGTTTTTCAGTGACTGAACGCCCACACACACACACCAAAACACCTTTAAAAACATACAACGCACATCGCGGAATAAACATGCTTATTCACTGATTTTATCCAAAATTTTGTTATTATAACATGCACATTACACACACACACACAAGTTTACTTACAAAAGTGATTATCAATTATTAATTATTTGTAATATTGATTGTTAGTAATTTTACAAAAAACGATAAAATCTTAATATTTTTTTTCTGATTCTGATTGTCAATAAGTATTGATTTTTTTCCTGTTTTTGTTGTTTTAAATGAATGAATAAACTTTGATTGATTATTATTGTTTTTATTTTGTTTGGTTTTTATTATCATCATCATTCAGATTCTGATCAGCATGGACTTCTACTTCGGTAACTTTTCCTCGAAATGCGTATTTGGATTCATAAAAATAAATGCAATTTTTTCAAAGAGAAACCATTTGAATTTCTGAATGAATTGTTGATTCATTTAGAAATTAAATCATCAACAACGAAAAAGAGTTTGATTTTTCGCTTGACATTCGTTTTCTGTCGAATTCTTTTGCAAACATTTCTTCTTCTTTTTTTTTACACAAGTTCTCTGAACTTTTTTTGTCGTCGTGGTTATTCATTCATTCTTTATTTGAGAATGAATGTATTATGGGGTGAATGATCATCATCATTTTTATCATGAATAAAAAAAAAATAAATATATTCGTCATTTTGAATGAAAATTCTTGTATTCAACAATGAATATTCAAAATGAATATTCTGGAAGGAAATGAATAAAAAAAAACAAATTTCCTTATATTCAATGAAATATGAATTTCCTCAATGCATATTCTTTTTCGGGGGTGATGACAGAAAATGTCATATCGGAAAAGGCTTTTTTTCAACGAATCGATTGGATAAAATTCTTGGATTTTATTTTTGATCAATATATGCCACTACTTCAACAATAGTTGGTTTGTTGAAGAAAACCAAATGCGTGTGTGTGTCATGGATGGATAGTATCGACAAATCCAATAATCTGGTTTTTTTTTGTCAAATTGAAGCCATCATGATCGACATTCACTCACACAAACATATGGCGTACCACTTTTTTTATTTAGGTTTCCGTATTTAAAATAAATTTCACTGATAATAATTGATGATGGTCAAGTTAAATTATCGACAAACAAAATAGGAAACAAAGTTGAATGACACTGATCATAGGTCACATTTAAACACAAACACAGTAGGATGAGAGAGAGAGAGAGAGAATCCTGGTTTTAAAACGTAGTGAACGCATATGCAGAAAGTATATCACCCCCATCCATCAACCAACAACAACCACACCAGTTTGATGAACTGAATTTGTTTCTTTTTTCAATTTCGGTTCATTCACTTATTATATAATGCCATTCATGATGATGCCATATAAATTTTGATTTGTTTTATTTGATGCTTGTTGCGTCGTATAACACGCTCACTCTCTTTCTTGTTATCTTTATCGAATGATTGAATTCTATAAAGATGTGTGTATGAACTGTTGGCCAATGTCATCAGAACAACGATGATATCATTACATCATCATCCATCATCAAATAGTTTGATGAAGAGCACCCAAAGAAAATTGAAAATGAAAACAAATTTTTGTTGTTGTTGAGAATCTTAATTTTCAAGTCAATTTTGTTCGTTTTTTTCTAGAAATTTCCTAGGAAAAAGAGGAGAGAATAAAAGGGCCCCATATTTTACTTATCAATGACTATTCGTCAATCATTAATTGTCGATTTACCTTGGATGATGATGAGTATAGCAACAAGGTAATCTATTTTGATTTCTTTCTCTTTCTCTTGATGAATCAATGGCAAAAAATGCTTTTTTTAGATCTCAATATCAAAACGAATTTGGATTGAATTGAATTTGTTGTTCCACAAATTTTTGTCAATTTTTTCTTTTTTGATTATCTAATACGATTTTTGTCGTTATGGATTTTGATCTAACTGTCTCAAGATGGCGTTATTGGTAAATTGGATTTTTTTGGGTTTCAAAAAGAGAAAATCGGTCCGTTTTGTTTTTCGGGAGCAATTTTCATCGAAGTGAAATGACCAAGTGTTGGATATTTTCTTTGCAATAAAAGGCGAGAAATTGATTTTTGTTTTGAAGAAAAAAACGAGAAAAACTTGCTCGCCCCGTTTACATTGATGTGCAATTTATTCGAGCATTAAAACAAATCAACAGAAATTGATTTAAGCAAGTAAACAAAAAAAAAAGAGGTAAACCCGAGTATAATTTCCATCATCATCCAATTCAATCTGTGATGAGAAAAATAGTTGCTGGCTCACACTTGTTGTTGTCAAATCTTTTCGAACAAACAAAAAACTCAAAGTGATGATGAGAAGTAATTGATCAAAAACAAAACGAAAAAAATCCTTTGCTTTCAGCAAAAAAAAAAGAGAAGCAATTTACAGTGAAAAAAATGATCCACCTATTTCTCTATTGGAAAAAAAAATAAATTTATGAAATTTATCAAATCAATAAAGGAGTAGATTACTTGTTCAGTAGGGCTTCATCAAACACTATATATATAATATCGATGATGATGATGATTTAGGTCAAGTCTAATGTGTCTACCATAAATCGGTATATACAGGATACAACAGGTATGACAATTTTGTTGTTGTTGTTGTCGTCGTTTTGATATTCAGTTTTAGTTCATTTTTCTTTCAGAAAAAAAAACATTTACATGTAATTTGTATCAGTAATAATTGTGTGTTTACATTTACATTATTTAAAAAAATAAAAAGGAAAAACAAATCAAATGTTAATTTTTTGTTGATACATATTGAAATGGAAAAGAAATTCATATGATGATGATGGTGGTGGTGGCTGTTTACAGAACAAGGGACTATACTTCCTGAATATAACATAATAATGTTTTGAATTTGAATTGATAGAAAAGGAAAGGCGTTCATTGTTGTTGCTGCTGCTGCTGATGATGATGATAAAAAAGAAAATAATAACAAAAATTTGGGAAGAAAATAAAAAAATTTAAAAAAATCCATTAAAAGTAACTATTGGTTATTTAGAGAAATTCATTCAGTTTTTTTGCTCGGGAAATGTTTCCAACAAAAATCGAACGTTTTTGTTTTCGAGCGATAAAAAAAAAGAAAAACATTTTCGAAAATCGAATCCTGCTCGAAGTTTTTTTTTCTTCGAAATTACCGATCTCCAATCGATCTTATTTTTTTCCCGAGAAAATATCTCTATATTTTGTTTTTGTTTGTTTGTAATCTCTATTTTTTACTTTCGATTGTTGATCAGAAAAAAATGTGTAATTATTATGAGTATAATTATCAGAAATTTTCTTTCTTTCGCCTTTTATTTTTTTGCTACAATTTTTTTGATCGAGTACATCAAGATCTANTATATACAGGATACAACAGGTATGACAATTTTGTTGTTGTTGTTGTCGTCGTTTTGATATTCAGTTTTAGTTCATTTTTCTTTCAGAAAAAAAAACATTTACATGTAATTTGTATCAGTAATAATTGTGTGTTTACATTTACATTATTCAAAAAAATAAAAAGGAAAAACAAATCAAATGTTAAATTTTTGTTGTTGTTGATACATATTGAAATGGAAAAGAAATTCATATGATGATGGTGGCTGTTTGCAGAACAAGGGACTATACTTCCTGAATATAACATAATAATGTTTTTTTTTCTGTTGAATGATTTGAATTTGAATTGATAGAAAAGGAAAGGCGTTTATTGTTGTTGTTGATGATGATGATGATAAAAAAGAAAATAATAACAAAATTTGGGAAGAAAATAAAAATTTAAATCCATTAAAAGTAACTTGGTTATTTAGAGAAATTCATTCAGTTTTTGCTCGGCAAATGTTTCCAACAAAAATCGAACGTTTTTGTTTTCGAGCGATAAAAAAAAACATTTTCGAAAATCGAATGTTCGAATCCTGCTCGAAGTATTTTTTTCTTCTTCGAAATTACCGATCTCCAATCGATCTTATTTTTCCCGAGAAAATATCTCTATATTTTGTTTTTGTTTGTTTGTTTGTAATCTCTATTTTTTACTTTCGATTGTTGATCAGAAAAAAATGTGTAATTATTATGAGTATAATTATCAGAAATTTTCTTTCTTTCGCCTTTTATTTTTTTGCTACAATTTTTTTGATCGAGTACATCAAGATCTAAACAGGTATAAAAACACAATAGCAAAAAAAAAACAAGACGATGAATCAGAATGGATTGGATTTCATCATCCTCATCATCGTCATCATCATCATCACCAGACCAATCCTAATGGTGGTAATAATGATGATGATGATTATGATTTGTTGGATGATTATGGCAATGGTGTTGTATGAAAAAAAACAGTCACATGATATTTAATGTGATATTTGCATCACCATTCATTGTGTGACAACCAAAAAAAAAAAGAGAGAGATACTTGAATGGATATACACACACACAAATTGTCGAGGTCGTTTCTTATGACTTTTTTGTTTTTGGTTGCCTCTTGAAGAAAAAAAATGATGTTTAAGAAAGGATTTCACCATTTGTTTTTTTCGTCAATTTCGATTCCGATCAATAATCCGATCAACAATAAGTTTTTTTCAATATATGTAAATCATGATTAATCAATTGGATCCGATTTTCGTAGTCATAGAATCGAAGAGTGTAGGCGGAATTCTTTTCAGGAAAATAAAAAAAATGATGAAATCTAACTGAAATTCGAATTAAATTCTCAATTTGGTAGTGGAACCCAAGAATAACGTTCGATTTGAACCCGATTTTATTTATCCAATAGTTTCTACCGTTAATCACTATGCTACTACTATTCGAATTTTAATTTCGAATAATCTATACTACTACTATATCTCTCACAAACAGAACAAATAAAATGCCAAATCATTGTTGATGATGGTGGTTGTATCTTCCGCCTATCATCATCGAACAAAAAAAAAATAGTAGTGGTATTGAAAAATGTAGAATCACCTTTTTATCTCTCTCTTTCATGTTTAAAATGTCAATGCAAAAAAAAAAAGAATGATAATGATAATGATGACGTAGATAGACCACTAGCATTCGAATATCTGCTATCGTCATCAGAAAAAAAATTATATCAACGTATTGCCAAAAAGCATATCATATTTTGTTGTTGTTAAAGTTCAGTTATAGTTGGCTTTATTATCGTTTTGCTGCTGCTGCTGCTGTTTCGTGCTCGTGTTTTGTGTTCGTCCGTTCGCGGATTGTGGCTTTTCATTTTTTTATTTTATTTCATTTCGTTTTGTTTCGTTTTTTTCATCATTTCGTTGTCTCATTATATTTGTCGCCATTTATTCGATCGTGTGTTTGATTGTTTTTCTCGTGGTTTGCTTGTTTGTTTGTTTGTGTCCACGTCGTCATCATCATCAATGTTTAAAATAAAATTTAAACTAAAAAAGATTCTCTAAAATAAAATAATTCTTTATTTGCGCCTTTTGTTCATAAATCAATTATCATCATCAACAACATCAACATCACATTCATATAAAAAGACAATTTAAAGATTTAAAATAAGAAATCATTCAAGTTTTTTTTTATTTCTAACAAAACAAAACAAAAAACTTTGGCTAATTATCATTTGGGTATTGATGAGTGATCTGATTGTTTGTGTGTTTGTTAGTTAGTTAGTTTGTATGTTGTGTGTGCCCTAATTTTTTATTCACATCTTTCTCATTTGAATTAATCCAAAACACAAGAAAAAACAACAAAATACTCAACAGCTCTTGTTTAGTTTTTGGTTAGATCAATTACCATCATTGAAAATTTTCCAAATTCAAATCATCACATCATAGTTTGTATTTTCTTTCGGGAAATAATATCGAGAATTTAGGTAAGTTTTTTATACCTATTTTACAATAATCAAACAGGGTGTAAATCATGAAAATTTTTACATAAATCTTCTACTAAAACAAAAACATAAATGAAATAGTTAACGGTAACGATGACACAATTTTTGTTTTGTTTTGTTTTTGTTTTCATTTCATTTTATGATGACGTTCTTTTTTATATGATGATGGTAATGTATGGTTTGTGCATCGATTACTTGTATCTGCGTAGTTTTCTTATTTGTGGAAAATGTTAAATGGTGTTATGGTGCCACCCCCTCTTCCATGAATGATGAATATGAAAAACGCCAACCAAAAAAATGATCAATTAGGAAAAATTTCATACAATTATCCATTAGCCAATTAATATTGATTGTTTTACTTGTTAAATTGCTAAAAGATTCTTCTTTAAACGCCTACAGCGGATGTATTTGTTTTGTGTGATTGACATATCGAATAAATCAATCGAAAAATCATTTTTTATTATGTGAATAGAAAAAAATTCCACGCTATTATTTTGTTGATTGTAAGAACATCTGTGAAAAATATGTCCGCATTTCGGATGGGGTTTTTCCCGTTTTTTCAAAAAAAAATGTCATTTTTTTCCCGTTCAAGAAGAAATTCTATTCAGACTAGTTTTGCTAGTTATTAACCATTAGTTGTATCTTTTCTGTTTTTATTTTATCTACATTACTTTGCAAAATTGTATTAAGTCAAGAAATAAAATAAAAAAATATGATTTCAATGTCGCAGATATCATCAAACCTACACCAAAATACGCATCAATATACAAGATGAATCTTTTTTTTAAAGTAAAAAAAAATTGACGCCATTTTAAGACTGAGATAATGTGTAATTTGTCTTGTGATTTTTTTTTCCGTTTGTTTCTCACAACATGATGATTAAATTTACTCTTGATTTTTCTGGTTTTCACCAAAAAAAGATATGGTTTTATTTCTTCATTTTTAAAAATGCTGTTCGAACATTTTTTGTTGTTGATAACCCTCCACCATGAATAAGTTTAAAGGGCAGGTATTTTAGTGTGTGCTGTGTGTGTGTTAAGTGTTTAGTTAAATGTCCATCCTCAATGAGTTCTCACCCTCCACCCAAAAAAAAATTTGATCCGATAAAATATCTCAATATGGAGTCCATTTCAAAAAAACAAAAATATTTTCCTTGTTTCTTAGTGAGTACATCTGATAACTTTGATGAAAAAATCAATGATAAAATTTTCTTTTAATAATTTTTTTAAAAGAAAGAATTATGATTGTTTATGATATGATGATTATTACAATTATTAGAGAAATTTCATCGTTATCACCTTTTTTTCAAGAGAAAAAAATCTTACGAAAATAGTATCCTAAAAGATGATTATCATCATCACTAATAATCTCATCATATCATATGCTTAATGACAATGTTGTTTGATTAAAGAACTACAAAAGAGAGAGAGAGAGATTTGAGTCGTACTCGATTTCGACTCATCACATGAATAATATACTCACCAATTCATAACACCGTAATCGCTCATTCTGTATTTTTCTCTCTTTTTGGTTTATGTGCTTGATATACATGCTTGCTTGAATGCAAGAGGATACAACGCCCGTATATTCATTAATATACAAAATGGCCATCTATTGGATGTGGTTTCAAATAAAAAGTTTTTCCTCATTCACTAAAGGAAAAATGGTGGAGTAGTGATGATGATGATTATACGAAGAGGAAGATTTAAAATGAAATAAAAAAAAAACATAAGGAGTCGAGGTGTAGGACGATGACGACGACAACGTATATACGTTGCAATATCGTTGCTCAAAACACCACACACACAATTGATTCGTTTTTTTTTTGGCTGAAATTGTTTGGTTCGTGCCTTGACGACTATTGCTTCTGCTGTTGTTGTCTTTATCGTTTCTATTTGCTTCTGCTGCTAAATAATATTTTCTCATTGTATTTTTTTTCGTCGTCTTTTCTTTAATCTTCATCACCATCATCATCACCATTCAACATCATTATCATTCGACTTTATGATTTCAATAAATCGAGCTGGTTCTATTCGTGGTGGTGCTGATTTGTTTTGTTTTTTTGGTAGCCAATCATCATCCTGGCTGCTGATGAGTACAATTCATTAATGTCAATGAAAAGAGAAAAAGAGAGAGTGAGCTTATGATTTAAGTGAATTTTATCATTTATTAGCACATCTTTTTGTTTGTGATTGATAAGATGAGATGATACACTATTCTACAATCAATTAATTTAAAAAAATATAATGGTATGTGTACGATTGATTGTTTTTTCCCTTTTTTTTAAAGTTTCTTCAAAATTCTAATCAAAATCATCAATTAGCTACCCTATTGATTTGTAAATTTTCTAATCTTTCACCCTTTTCATGTGATGCTTAAATTATTTTATCACTGGTCACTTATAATGCATAATCATCATTAATCATTAAATTTGAATTGTTATACTTGATGATGATATGATATGATTGGAAAATATCGAATACACTTTTTTCACCATTTTTTCCACCATCAATTCCCTTATCATCATCAATTTTTTTTGTAGCTGTGTATTTTCTTTTCTCTTTTTTTTCAAAATAAAATGTATGTTTCTTTCAGTGCGTGTGTTTGAGCATTCATTTTGGATTTTCCTTGACGTTGTTTGTGTGAGTGTGTATATCGACTACGTCGATAGCGATCATGACGACGAATGACGGCCATCAAATGAAACATTTTTAACCATAGAGATAGTATAATTGAGTATGTGTGTTTTAGTTGATTTACTGACTGTGTGACTAAATGAATAGGAAAATAATTTCAATCGATTGCATTTGTTTGTTGTAAATTTCTTTCTTTTTAAAAAAAATCAATCTTTGACAAATGTTTTTCATTTTTTTTAATTTCAATTAGATTGAATATTTTTCATCAATTATTACTTGGCTGACGGATTAAATCGTATTCATCGTATTGATATTGTTCATTTTGGAATTGATGATTTTCTTTTCATCGTGAAATTCTTCACCATTTGGCTTGTTGATTTGTTTTTGAAGTTTTAAAACAACTGAAGTATATCTAAATTTAAGAAAAATGGAAAGCGATCCGAATCAAATGTCACAAAGTGCAGCCTTGTGTAGGTCTGGATGTGGTTTCTATGGCAATCCATCCAGTGATGGCCTTTGCTCTAAATGTTATAAAGATGCATTGAAAAGAAAACAAGCTGCACCAACAACAACTGCCTCAACGAATGGTTCATCATCTCAAACAACACTCGATAATGTGGCAGCCGATAATATCAAAACTTTGATTGCATCATCATCATCATCATTGATTAATAGTAGTAATAATAACAACAACAATAATAATAATAGCATAACATCTCTTGTAACAAGTAATTCAAATTCAAATATATCTGCGATATCTGCTCAAGAATCTAGCCATTCATCGAATTCTGAGGTAATTTTCATTTAAAATTGTTAATTAACCTTTTTTTAATGATACCATTTTTTCCAATAAAGGCAAAGGTAGATCAGCCAAATTTGACGACGACTAGTGAAATTAATACCTCTGTTGGTGGTACACAACAAGATGAAGAGGAGGATACACCAACAAAACAACAGAAGAAGAAAAAATTACGATGTCCAATTTGTCGTGAAAAGCTTGTTATCATCCGTATGTTATATAATGAATTTTTTTAAATGAAATTTGTTTTACTCATTTAAAATTATCAACAGGGTTTGATTGCCGTTGTGGTCTATCATTTTGTGGTACGCATCGTTATGCTAAAATGCACAATTGTACATTTGATTATAAAGAATATGGAGCTGAAGAGATTCGTAAAAATAATCCACAAGTGATTGGTGAAAAAGTTCAAAAGATTTGAACAAAACATAGTTTAAAAAAATCAATAACCGCATATGCAAATATTAGTTAAAAATTGTAAAATTCAAAAACAAAAATATTACAATGGATTTGGTCCCGATGATGATTCATGGTGGTCGAGAATCTAATGATTTGAAAAAAAATATAGAACCTTAACATGGAAGAATCATGTGAAAATATGAAATCAAGTTTACAAACATACCCCAGTTTTTTTTTCTTTTCGTTTCCTTTTATGCAAATACACACACACACAATCATTTCACTAAATAATTCTCAATCTCCAAGTCAAAACTTTATGCAGAGCTCTTTATTCTATTCTTCTTTTTTTTTAATTTCTCATTTCACTTTTTTTTCATTCATTCATTTTGTTTCTCTATAAAAAAAAGGATAAAACTTTATGTTAAATAATTTAAATTTAAACACACACACAAACAAACTAATGAAAAATACATGTTATGTTATTTTAACATACATTTATCATTAAAAATATCAGATATATTTGCTTGAATTGTGTTAACTCATCATCATCATCATCATCATATTCTTATTCATCTATTTACACACACACACAACATGGAGAATGAATGATTTCAAAAAGAAAAACATTTTTTTTTCACCCAACATTAAACAATACTAATTGTAGAATGGATTATGATAATGATAATGATGATTCAATATATATGAATCATTTTACAATTAATATTATAATACCCCCCAAAAAACATTCTTGTAATTGATTTAAATTTTTATTAATTTGAATCAAACAAAATCAAATGGATTAACTAATCGAAAATAGCAAAAATATTCAATTTTTTTCTATAATTTGCATGTATAATTTTCACTTGGATTGTTCGTTTTTTTTCTTTTTTCGTTTGTTTGTTTGTCGCGTTCAATCAAATATCATCTTTGTCACACCACAATTCATTTTTTTCCCCAAACACTATTCTATTCGCTTTTGTAAATATAGAAAATATTAAATCGTCTTTTTTTTAAAAAAATAATAATAATAATACTTTCATTTAAATCGTGTGTGTGTGTGTTTGTAAATTATTTTATTTTAGTTTAAATTGCTTTGCACAAACCGAAATCACAATCAACGATGATGATGATGATGAACACGATTATTGTGTGATTTTTCATTTTTTTTTTAAATTCAAAATTATCATTAAAAGTATGGATGTTATTTGTTGTTTCAATCTTCGAAATGGAAAATGTTGACCATCGAATACCATCGATATAGTCACCCACTCCCAATATACGCCCATCACTTAACCTTATTTCTTCTTATTATTATTTGTAATTTGTAAAATGTAATTCTTTTCTTAATTTGAAAATTAAAATGATAATTTTTTTGGAAAAAAATTACAAAATTTATTTTTATTTCGAAACTAATTTTTTTTATACAAATTATACCGAACATGGCCATGGCATTGTTTTTTGTTTTGTTTGTTGCAAATATTTATTAATGAAAAGGTTATTATTGTATATGGGAAAGGGATTAATTAATCTGTTTTTGATTTGTATTTAATGGATGACAAACAGTTATATCATTGATCCGTAACATTGTTAATGGTTCACGATTAAAACGATAACGTTTAAAACCATGTTTACGTGGTATATGAAACATATCCATATTTGTTTGTGTCATTGTTTTTTCAATGATTGTTGCTTCAACTTGTACAAGATCACGATTTAATACCGGACGTCCAATTAATGTAAAATTTTCATTACCAACAAGTAAACATTTTTCCAATTTTATACGTTCACCAATATCGGCTGGTATTGCTGTTTTTACAGCAAATATATCATTTAAATGTACTAAATATTGTTTACCATAAAGATGTATGACGGCAAATGTTTGACCAAAATTTTTTGATTCAATTATGGAATTTACTTTATGAAATACAATTTCATGTTGTTGTTCCATCAATGTTCGTTTTGTTATTGTTTGATTAACAATTTTCGATATGAATAATGATTGTTGATTAGATTTACGTAATAATAATGAAAACATTTTATTTGTTGTTGTTTTATCTTCAACGAAAAAAAAAGAAAAAAATCGAACGTAAAAAATCATGAATTCGAATCAGATGGCAGCAAAAGTGTGGTTCAGTTTGATCCATTCATAAATATGGTTATGATTTTTTTCCCTTTTAAACATCCATCTTTCAAATAAATTAGCAAAATGATTTCCTCATTAAATTCTACAAATAAATGAAAAACCAATGCATGAAAGGTAATCAACAAAAAAAGAATAATTAGTGATCTCCGATGCCGGGAATCGAACCCGGACCGCCTGGGTACACTGCTAAGATTCGAAATTCTCCTTTTTCATCGAATAAAACTTGAGAGCCAGAAATCCTAACCATTAGACCACATCGGATCATCATTAGCGCTAAATGGACAATTTTCAAGTTTTTATCATGAACATTGAGAATATTCTTTTTTCGGTTAATTAATGAATCTATTTTGAATATAGAATCATAGAATCAATTTGTTTTTATTGTTGTTGAAATAAATAACTCATCATAATAATAACCACTAGATGACACCTGCGTGTTTAAAACACAAAGGATTCTTGATGTATATGAATCGAACCAATTATATATTTTGGATAATATTCCATTACAGCAACAACAAAATAATGATGATCATTATTTATTCCATTATAAGGAAAAAGGAACTCTTCATGTTCCACCTTTTCAATGTTTTTTTTTTAAATATTGATTAAATTTAATATATGATTATAACAAATGATGAACTTTAATTTAAAAAAAAGTGATTTACCTGTAATTTACCTACGTGCGTTTGTATGTTATAAACATACAACAATTATAATTGATAAAATTCTGTTTGTAATCAAATAGAAAATTGTGAAAACAAGAAAAACTTTATCAAAAAAACAAAATAATCAATGTAAACATGGACATCACAGGTAAGACAATCATCATCATCCAAAACATTCGATTCGATTAATTTTGTTCCATTCCGCTTGATGGCGCTTTGAATCTCATCATGTATCCAATATATATAGGGATAACTCGATTATCAACTTAAAAATCAATTAATGAATAAAATTTCTGAAATTTATTAATTACTGAAATTTTGAAAATTCTGACATTCACAATCAATTAATATAGAAGATTTTCCATATAGCAATCAAAGAAAACTGAACAAACTTATCATTGATAGTTGTTATTCATTATTTTTTTGGTTTTTCCAAGAATAAAATAATCATCAATATGAAATCGATGTATCGCTGTATGAAATATATCGTTGGCTCATGTATATATAGTATTCTCAAAAAGTATCTGGCCATCATTGGTGACATTCCACATTCCAATACACTGAGTTATCTGCATATATAGAATGTGTATGTTTTGTTTTGTTTGTTTTTTCTTCCGAATGAAATATCAAAATAAAAAAAAAACATCCCAATTTTTGCCCAATTATCATCCATTCATCGAATCAATGAGCTTTGACATTTAATTTTTTACGATATTTTTTTGTTGCCGATTTCCATCACGATTTTGTTCATTCTGCCAATCCACCCTTGCCCGAGAATAAACAACAAAAGAAACATTTTTTTTCTTTTGATTACCGATTCTGCTCGGGTGTTTCGGTTTTCTCATAAATTTTTCTTCCTCCTTACCACTCTTCTTTATCGAATTGTTTTGATATTGGTGGTAGTTGTGGCAGGTAGTGGTGGTACGTTGATTTCATTTTTTTCAGATTTTTCTTCTGGCAAAACAAAAAAATTCTTTAATGGTTTGTTGTTTTTTTGTTTGTTTTTGGCCCCATAAATATCCCCCCTCAATCTTTTTTCGTTTTGTTTTGTTATCATCATTCCATTTAGATAATTAATTGATTGATTGATGGATTGATAAATTGAATGTAACAATTTCATATTTATCATTTTGGTGATGATGTATTTTTATCATGTATCAATCGATAGATAATCAAAACAAAACGAAATAGAATTTGAATTTGAATATATCCTGAGGATTTACCAATAGATGTAAAAATCATGTTTTCAAACCTGAAACAAAATCCTGAAACAAAAAGTTTGTCAAATCGATCGATCGATCGATTGATTGATTTGGCAAGTTTTTTTTCAGATGGAAATGATGATTGATTGTGGAATTCAAGCCCGATAAAAAAATGAAAAACTTTAAATTAATTTTGTTTTCATTTTTTTCATTTCTCAGAAATTTTTCCCTGGAACAAAACTATCAATATATTTTGAGATAAAACATCATCATTTTAATTTAAAAAGAAAACGATGAGAATGAATAATATTGTCCAGGGTAAGTTTAAATTTTAATTGAAAAAAAAACTTGTTTTTATTGAAAAAAAATGAATTTACCAAATTTTTTTTTGAAAATAGATATTAAAAAACTTCAAGATTCATTGGAAAAACTTTATAATACATCATCGATTAATTATAATGGTAATATTGGACAACAACAACAACAACAACAACAATCATCATCAACAAATTTGGCACATCAACAACTACTAAAAGATGATATACGTATTTTATTAGATGTATTGGAATGTCCTGTATTCGAATCAATCGTAAATGTTCAGGTAGATATTAGAATTTTTACTGATGAAAAAGAATAACCTTTAATCAAAAATTCTTATCAAACATTTTTCAATTCAAAGTATTCATTACAACAATTACGTGAACAATTTATAAATCATCCGTCCTTATTGCCAGTTGATTTTGATATTGATCAAACAACATTAGAATTAAAATTAAATCCAAATATACCAAATGATGATAATAATAATAATAATTTATCGATTAATATCAATCAACAACAACAATTGAATAAACATCATCCACCAACATCAACTTCTACATTTAAAAATCAAGATAATGATAAAGTTGGAACAACGACAACAACAACAACGGCAGCAGCAATAGCTGGAGATCATAATCAATTCGATGATTATGATAATCGTACGATACCATCGAAATTTTCATTACAACAATATATGTATGAAAATTATGATCATCAAGAACAATCATCATTAGGTGGTAGTGGTGGTGGTGGTGGTGGTGGTATCCGTGATTATTGTGAACCAGATTATGTTAATATTTCATCACAAGTAATTTTATTTATTTATTTTAATCCGAAAAAAATTTATTGATTTTTATTTTTTTCCATTGAATAGGATGAAACATTTCGAAAAATAATCAATGAATTAGCCAAAGGACGTATGATACAAACAGTTGAATTATATAAACCGGAAGGAAAAAGTCTTGGTTTTAAAGTTGTTGGACTTAATCATCAATCTGATTCGTTGGCTACTGGTAGTGGTGGTACAAATAATAATGTTTCGAATAATTCTGTCGTATCGGAATCACAACAACAACAAATTGGCCATCATCATTTTGATGATTTGGCTAATAATAATAATAATAAGAAATTGGGAATTTATATTCAAGAAATACATGAAAATGGAATTGCTGCAAGGTAAGCCGTTCTTTTTTCATTTGAATTTTATAATTTTTGGGAGAAAAAAAAATTACACGAAATAAGTTTTGCAACAAAAAATGAGATACAAAAAAAAAAAGATTCGGAATCTACAAAACGGGTTTAAATATCCAATTAGTATTCATGAAAATTCATTAGAATTTTTTGTTTTGTTTTTGTTTTTGTTTCGGATCGAAAATGTCATATGAGATTAATTATAATCAAAATGAAAAACAAAACCGATCCGCTTAATAATGTTGATGAATTTTTTCAAACTCATCAATTTTTGTTGTTGATTTAATTTAATTTGATTTGTTATTTCATCATTAGTATTGGAATATCTTTTCTCACTCACTCATTGATCACTCAGTGGTTCATTATTTTCGGTTCTGGATTACATTTTTTTTTTACGAAATTCATTCTTTTTTTTGCAGGAGAAATTTTTTCGTTGGAATTTTTGTGTACGAGGAAATAATGTTAATGAACAACAACAACAACAACAGAAAAGGTTATGTAATGAGAATGTCAATGTGAAAAAAAAACTGAATAGATTTCCGAAACTTTTTTTGTTGTTGTTGTTTGATAATTATGACAATTTATTCTTTCTTTCTCTCGCTCGCTTTATGAAAAGTTTAGTTGAAAATTATTATTATTATTAGTAGCATACACCCAATTCAATCTGAATTTAGATTTTTGTTGTTGTTGTTGTTGTCGTTATTATTATTATTATCTAGCCATTCATCCATAATATCATTGCATGTTTATTACATGTCAGTCAGTCAGTCAGTCAGTTGGTCACATTTTTTGGTCCAGTGCGGCCTACATATTATATATACATTTCATTTGGATAATGAGTTTTTTTTCTTGTTTCTTCTTCTTCTTGGTTCAATGTTCATTTTCCTCTCGATTTGGTCCATATTTTTTATTATTATTATTTTTTCGGTTCGATTCTTTATTCAGATCGATCGGTAATTCATGATTTTTTTTCTCCCGATTTGTTTTTTTCTGAATGTATGGTACAGAATGAATACACAGAAATTATAATAAGCAAAAAATAATAATGATGATGATGATGATGAAAATAAGTGTTTTTCTTTTTTTTTACTTTCAAGGAAAATATGTTTATTTTATATGTACTGAATGAATGTTTGTGTGTGTGTTAGTGTTATCTGTGGTGGAAAACCCTCGTCTTTTTCATGAAAAATAAGGGAAAAAAGACATTTTTTTTCTGGTTTGAAACCTGAGAACCAAAATTTTCAAACAAATCTTGGTTCTTCAAACATTCAAAATAGATTCTGCTTTTTTTTTGTTTTGTTTGAGGGGGAAATTTGAATTTTTTTTTAATTTTAAAATCCATTAATGTTGAATATTGAATTTCATTGAATTCAAAGATGAAACTAATATGACATGACATTATATCATCAAATTTGACAATGTAATTATTAACCAGAAGTAACAAAGAAAAAAAACTGAACATCTTTTCTTATTTGCATCCAGAATTATTGAATTGAACAAGAAAATTCTTCGGAAATTCTATATTCTGAATACAATATTTGTATATGTGTTCGTGTGTTGCTATATATATAAAAGAAAGAAGAAATAAAATTCTTTGAAGGAAATTGCATTTATGTGTCGAAATGTCGATAAATATGATGATGATCGTGTTTTTTTGGTAAAATGATAACAGCAACAACAAGGAGGAAAAAAATGAATTTTCCTTTTCCCCCGATTCTTTCTATTGTTGATATGGAATTGGTAGATTCTTTCGAAACTTTTTTTTTGTTATCTCTTATCACGAAATTGTTGTCGTTGTTGTTGATGTTGTTGATGATGATGATGATGCAATTTGTACAACCATTTTTTTTATTACCATTCTGGCCCAATTTTGAAATGATTGTTACTTTATTATGGAATTCGTTTTTATTATTTTTTTGTTATGACAAAAAAAAAGAAAGAAAATTCTTTCCAGAATCGAATCTTAATTTAATCATCATTCGACTATATCGTAGATAACGTACGAAACAGGTAGAAATAGAAAAGAATTTCTTTAGAAAATTGTCGTTCAAGTATCTCATTCAATTCATTGATTTTATCCGTTGTCAAATTCAATTAAGAAATGTTTGGATTTCTTTTTTTTTTGCCTCCAAAAGAAAAATTATATTTCATGATAAAATCTAATTTGATTGTTGTTGGTTTCTTCTCATAATGATGATATTTGGTTGTAAATGTCATCAGATATCATTTATCATATTCTGGAGAAAAAATAGCAGCAACAACAAAAAAAAACATGAAAACAAAAATGTTTCATTAATTTTTTTTAAAGAAGAAAAATAACAATGACAACAACAACAGAGATAAAAATTGACAAAAGAATATCGAAATATATTCTCGAAACAAACAAAACGAAAAACAAAAAGAGCAATAGAATATTCTATAACTATCGATATATTCGTCCTATATGATTGGACAGACAAACGCATTTGAAAAAAAAGAAACGCACGCATATATGCATGATGAATATGCTAATGATGATGATGATAATAATGTTGAAAAAAGAAGAAGAAGAAGAATAACAAAGAATCAAATCAAATGATCAAAAAGAGAATTCCAACTACAATTTATTCAACAACAACAACCAAATTTCCAAATTTACAAACAACAAATGGATAAACTGAATACACTATATACATAAATAGGATAAAGATATATTTCGTAAAACCTAATGGGTTATGTAATTTTGTAGTTTTCTTTTGATTATCATTATTTTCTTTCTTCTGGTTGCTCTATTTTTTTTTCATTCAAAATAAAGAAAATACGCGCGCCGTATTTCATAAAATATTCGCTACAGGAGAGTAGTAGCAAAGTAATTGATGATGATGATGATGGTTGTATTCTATCATTATAAACAGGAATAAAATTCCTTTTTTACTAAAGGAATTTTTTTTTGTTGGATTTTTATATATACGTGTGTCGATCACGGTGTGTGTGTGTGTGTGTGTTTAGATTCTAGAAAATGGAACGAAAGAAATGCTAAAGGTGGATCCCGGTATATATTTTACTAGACCAGAACAACAACAAAACATACACACCATATTTCATTTTGGAAATGAATTTTGCCGATACCGTTTTTTCCTTTTTCACTTGAAACTTCGAAAATATGATTCATTCATAGGTAGAGTATATCATTAATGATGATGATGGTCATGATCATTATTGGTGGTGGTGGTCGACGTTTATATTCACATCATCCAAAAAAGAATTGCGCATTCTCTCCAATTTCCAAACAAGAAAATATGGTGAATGTTGAAAACGAAGAATTTCTTTTTCGCTTCAGCAATAGCATCACCATCATCATCATCATTAATATTTTGTCCATAGAAAATTATTATCATTATGATTATTGTTTTTTTCGTTTGGTTGTTTATTTTCTGTTCCCGTTAATATATGTGTGTGTGTGTGTTGCCATATATTTTTGGTAAAAAATATTCTGTTGTTGTAGCTGTTTTGTTTTGTTTTTTTTTCACTGTTGCTGATAATGATGGTCATCATTATTGAATTCTTTATGCGATTTGTTTGTTTGTTTAGTTTGAAATGATCATCACGATATAATACAGGGTGATTAAATCTTTTTTTCTTTTTTTTCTGTTTCTGTTTTTGTTTCATGTTTATTGTTTGTTCTTGATGTGTGTGTGTGATTTGTGTGACTAATACAAATATCCGGTGTGTGGATTCCCGGATCATATTTGTGTTTGTGTTGATGTGTACATTACCGAATCATTATGATTATTTTGTTTTTTGGAAAAATGGTGAATATTATTTGAGAAAAATCTCTTTTTCGGATGTGTTTGTTGTGTTGTTGGTCATGATTGTGATTTGATATTTGAAGCACACACATGAAAAAAAAATACCATGACTGCATTAACAAGCAAAAATTTTTGTTTTTGCTTATTGATATTTCAGTTTGATGGAATCGGTTTTTGTTCCACAAAGTGATAATGTTTGAAATTGGATGATTCTAGTCGTACAAACACACACACACACACACGCACATCTAACTGATGGTGGTGTTAAGTTTGTTGTTGTGATTTTCCTGTTTCTGGTTTGGTTTGGTTTGTTCATCGTTGGTTTTAAATTTGTTAATTTTTTTTAAATTTTGTTTCGAGAATCTTTGTAAAATCTTTATCTGGTGTGTGCGTGTTTGTGTAAATGGACTTTGAAAACAAAACAAAAGTTTTACCATAAAATTTTTCTTTTTTTTCTATTTATAAAATCATCGAATAAAATAATAGAAGTGGCCTATTAAAACCACGTGATCAAATATTGGCCATTGATCGTCATTTATTTACCAATGATCTTTCACATGAAGATGCTATCAATATATTACAAAGTGCCAAAGGTGTTATACGTTTGATTGTTGCACGTTCAAATGATAACAACAACAACAACAACAAAGATGATGATAATAACGATGATGTTGTCGATGATAATGCCAAAATTACAACAACAACAACAACAACATCGATATCATCAACAACAACATCACCGACAACAACAACAACAACCGTCCATAATGTTGAAGATAAATTCATTACATCAACAACAACGATTAACAACAATCAACAATCAAATTTAAATTCAATTATAAAAACATCGGATACAACATCTTTATTATATAATAATAATGATGTAAAACGTTCATCATCGAATGCAAGTGATTCATCATCAAATAATTCATCATCATTATCAATAGCCAATAATCAGAATCAGAATAATAATAATATGGTATTGAATACTGAATGGATACAGATTGATTTGATTGAATTAGATCAAGAAAATGAACATGGATTAGGTTTTGGTATTGTTGGTGGACGATCATCGGGTGTTATTGTTAAAACAATTATACCAGGTGGTGCAGCTGCTAAGGTAGGTTTTAAGAATTTTTTTTTCGCATTTATTACCCTTTTTTTTCGCAAAAATTTATGACATATTTTAAATGTGTGTGAGAGATAGTTAATTTAATTGCGCAAACAAAACCGAGAAGCAAAAGAGAAAACATTAATTAAATTTCAAAATTTCAATCCATTTATCTCCCACACAATTCATACTCGATTATAATACATAATTATAACAAAAAAAAATCTTTAGGATAATCGTTTAAAAGTTGGTGATCATATATTACAAATTAATGGTGTTAATATGCGTGGTATGACATCGGATCAAGTTGCACAAATATTACGACAATCAAATGGTCAACGTATAAAATTAATTGTTGCACGTCCAGTTGATCCATCATTAGATCTACAAGTTATACAGAATACATTAACAATTGTACCAACTAAATGTATTAATGATCCAATCGAGCTTGAAAAACAGATACATTTATTATCCATACAACAACAACAGCAGGTTTGTTTTTCATTATTATTATTATAATATTTACCAAATCAATAAAAAAAATTTATATTGATAGTGTAATCAAGAAAATATCGATTACTTAAATCAACAGCCAACAACAAATGATTTTATCGACCAACAACAACAACAAAATTATCGTCATATAAATGATACTAATAATAATAATTTAAAATCATCATCATCGAATAATTTAGTGGCCAATGTATCGGATATATTAAGCTCAACTAATGATCCACAATTTCAATCAGAAATTGAAACATTTGAAGTTGAATTAATCAAAGATCAACAAGGATTGGGTATTACTATTGCTGGTTATGTTTGTGAAAAAGGTAAATAAAAACAAACAAAAAAAAAATTTCCGAAAACAAACAAAAAATTGACTTAATTCGTAATAATGATCATAATTTTTCATTTCTTGTTTTTCAAATATAGTTGCTGAAGAAATTTCCGGCATTTTTATTAAAAGTATTGCTACGGGAAGTGTTGCTGAACGTTCGAAAATGATACAGATAAATGATCAGATTATTGAAGTTGATGGACGTTCATTATATGGCTATAATAATCTGCAAGCTGTCGATTTATTACGTAATACTGGAAGAATTGTTAAATTAAAATTAGCACGTTATGTAAAAGGATCTAAATATCATGATCAAATACAAAAAGGTGTAATGAATGCCGAACAACAATTACAAGCAACAGCGACAACAACAGTACGTACAAATAATGGTCCAACAGTGATTCAGATCAATAGTCAACCATCGATAAATACATCGAATTTAATGACAAGTGGTCCATCATCGTTAGCTCATCGATCACCGAATGATTTGCGAGAAAAATGGTCAACCATTGTTGGACCAGATTTTGATATTATTGTAAGTAAATCTAGAATTTTATATTTGAAGAAGAATTTTATTCATTTTTGTTTTTTTTCGATTTCTATTCATTCATTCATTCATATTAGATTGCAAGCGTTACAAAATTCTGTCATGATGGTGGCCTAGGCATCGGTCTTGAAGGTGTAATCGATATTGAAAATGGTAATGAATGTCGTCCACATCATTATATTAATTCGATCATACCGAATGGTCCTGTCGGTCGTAATGGTTTATTGCAAAAAAATGATGAATTACTTGAGGTAAATGTTTTGTTTTTCTAAATGAAATCTATATGGTTGATTATTTATTCAAATTTTATTTCAAATAACATATATAGGTAAATGGTATTCGTTTACATGGACTTAAACATTCCGATGTATTACCTTTGCTCAAAGATCTTCCTATCGAAGTACAATTAGTTTGTGCTAGACCAAAGCCTACAACAATAACAAGTGCCAATGATATTATAACTACAATCAATAATACAAATAACCGAAATCCATTTGTCGTCCAAATACCCACAAAAACAACACAACAACAACAATCAACAATTGATATTGCCAAATTTAATACTACAACAAACATCAATGATGTTGGTTATCCATCAATTTCACCATCTTCATCATATCAGTTACATTTTCAACAACAACAACAACAACAGCCACAACAACATCATTTAGATCCATCACCAATGTCAGGAACATCATTTATTGATCGTTTAGTTAAAGCCAAATCGGATGGTTCACTTGCAATGATGACAACACCAATTGCCGGTACATTTACTGGTCTTGATGATGATGTATCGATTACTGAATTATCAAAAATACGTTCACGTTCACTTGAACCGCTTACTGGGTTAGCAATGTGGAGCCAAGAACCACAAGTAATTAAATTGATGAAAGGAGATCGAGGTCTTGGTTTTAGTATCCTAGATTATCAGGTAAATTATTTGGTTGGAAAAAAAATTCTCTTTTTTTAATTTATCCAATTTTTATTCATTTTGTCTTTTTCAATGTTTTTGTTTTTCCAACAGGATCCAATGAATCCAAATGATACGGTCATTGTAATACGTAGCCTTGTACCGGGTGGTGTTGCACAACAAGATGGTCGCCTATTACCCGGTGATAGATTATTATTTGTAAATGATCAAAATCTAGAGAATGCAAGCCTTGATCAAGCTGTACAGGCATTGAAAGGAGCACCAAAAGGTGTCGTTATTGTTGGCGTTGCAAAACCATTACCATTACCTGAAAGTGCATTACATTTAGCAGCTGCAGTAGCATCATCAGCTACAATTACAAACATCGATAATGATAAAAATCTAGTAACACAGGTGAGCGATTCGCGATGATGATCAATGACAAAAAAAAATGAAAAATTATGGACAACGTTTCTTTCTCTATCAAATATCTATCTATTATATCTACCTATCTTTCTTTTACAAACATACACACGCACACACACACACACAACTATTTAACTTTTGCTGGGCTTTTTTTTAATTAAAAACAAAAAAAAAATTGATTATAAAAATTGATTTATTACAACCAAAAAAAAAAATTAATTATATGAATGTTGACTACTTTCTTAATTTCCTTTTTTTTCTTTCTTTATCATTATTATAAATTATATAAATAATTTGTGCTGTTGTTGTTTGGTGTAATGTGTGTCATCAATATGATTGTTTTTTTCGTTGTTGTTGTGGCCATGTATGCGCTTTTTTGTTTATTTCAAATGGAAAAAATGATAAGGTGAAAAAATCAACCAATGAATGAATGAATGAATGAATGGATGATTTTTTTTTCACCGGATGAAAAATGAAACCAAAAAAAAAATGAAATTTTTTTCAAATTTCTAAAAACTTTGTTTGAAAAATTCATTTCTTCTATTTCCGCTATGAATCTTGCTTCTTCTTCTTTTGCTGTTATGTTAATTTTCTATCAAATTTCGTTTGCTTTCAAAAAAAAAGAAAAAGAAAAAACTTTTCCAATGTCAAACAAACAAACAGAAAAAACAAAGACAATTTTTTCCTTTTTGTCTTCCACAATCCTTTTTTCGTTTTGTTTTCCATTCAACCGCAATCCAATCATTATAATAATGCAAAAAAACAAAATGCTTGATGAAAATTTGTTGATGCACACTTAATTTTATCTAATTTTCCTTCAATTTTTTTTTTCGCTGTTATTTTCTATTTGGAAAAAAAACAAACAAATTTGAAATATGAGAAAATATTTTGTTTACTTTCCTGGTTTGTTCAAAAAGAAAAAGAAAAGAAATTGTTTCAAAATCGACTATCGCCAATTAATTCGTCCATCACTTTGAATTAGCTATTTTTCTTGAATGTTTGTAAATGGAATGCATAACATTGAATATTTTTTTTCTTTTTGCATTGTAAACTTCTTCATTCATGTTTCCGCTTTGTTTAGTTTTTTTTTGTTATTCGGGTATGGTGACGATAACAAAAAAAAAATTTTTTTTGTGGAAAACGATGAAGAAAAGAAAACTTTTCAATTTTCATTTCCTTTATACTCTTATCATCGTCATTGTCATTTGTAATTTAATTTTCATCACACAATGAAGGTTGAATACTAGAATTGAATTTTTTTTTTTGTCCATCTTGATGATTTGAATGAATATGCTACTGCTACTGTTACACATTTTTAAACTTTAAAGTTTAATTTTTTTAACACAGAAAAAAAACCGAACCAAAAATGAAAGCAGCAATAGAAATTTTGAAATATTCACAATTTCATTAGGGGATTCTGATTATATTACAATGCAACGAAAGTTGAAAAAAGAGAAGATTCTTTCACTATACAATAGGAAAATATACTCAGCTCACAATAATTTAATCGAAAAAAATCGACTCATTAATAGATGGTGTTCATGATGATGATGATGATGATGGTAAAACCAATCAATTTTACGTTCAATCTATCAATAAATCTTTTTTGATTTTTGTAACAGGATCTGAGTGTGTGTGTGTAATTATGATATAGAATCTGTGAAATAAACTATATAAAATCGGTGAAATTTATTTTTTTTTCGGGAAAATTTACTTATCAGAAATTGATATATAGTGATGGATATGATCAATGACGATAGTCACGTGTTAACAATTTAATTTAATGTCTAAAACTTTGAACCAGAAAAAAACAACATTGAATTAATCGAGTGTTTTTTCTGTCTTGTTACTGTTAGTTTCTTTTTTTTTCGTTGTTGTTGTCGGCTGAAAATCTGGATCCAGATGTTTCGAAAACAGAAAAAAAAGTAAATATCGATTATAATCTAGGAGAGGAAAAAAGTGGTTATAGAATATATAAAAAAAAGTAATATAAACAGATTTAAACAACTCAAACCTTATTTGACAAGTTGTCGTTGTCGTCAAATTTTGACAATATTTATCAAACGATTGATTAAACTTTTTTTTTATTTTCTTTGACATTTGGATTGCCAACTTTTGTTTTTTTTGTTTTGCAATTTTTTGCTCATTTCAAACACGCACTCAGTTGATGATTGCAAAAAGTGAAAATCAAATTTTCGAATCAAACTTGTTCGAATTGTGCCTGTTCATAGATCGAATGTGACAATGATAATCATATAATCAGAAATGGGACACGGAATGTTAAAATAGATGCCGGATCGATCGGTGGTTTCAAACAAAGTGATAAACGAATTAATCGATTGACAATCGATTCTTTTTTTATTCTATTTATTTTGTGTTCCTTCCATTTTCATTCAAATATTTTTTTCTACTTTTCTTTTTTTTTATTTATAAAAAAACAACTGAAAAAAAACAAAAATAGGAAAACTACATTCCGAAAACAATCACCGATATTGATGAAGAAAAATTTTTCGAATCAATTAATGATATGGATGAAAAAATTGTTGATAATCAATTCGTTGTTGATGTCGATGATGTTGTTCATGATCATCATAATGATTTAATTATTCCTCATGATCATGACATTCATAATTATAATGATGATCATCATGATAATAATAATGATGATGATGAAATTGACAATGTCAAGCAAAAAATGATGGATGCTAGATTAACATCGATGCCTAAACGACAACAACAACAACAACAGCAAAACAAGTCGATAGCCAATGCTAACGGCATAACGGATATGATGGATGAGAAATATCAACAACAACAACAACAAACAAATGAAATTTTAACGACAGAATCATCGCCATTGATGATGGATAACATTAACAAACAACATCAACCAAGTGTAGTGAATAATGAAATGAATGATATTAATAGTAGAAAAATTTTGCCATTAAAAACTGTTGATCAGGATTCGAATATTTGTACGACGACAGCGATGATGACGAAAACAACGATGATGACGACAACTACGGCAACGACGAAGATGGTGTTGCCACTATCATCACCAATTTCGAATGACAAAAACGACACCACGAAGAATAATTATTCACAACATCAGCAACAACAACCATTACAGAAGCAGCAACAACAACAACATCAAAAAGAGCGTAAAACATCAACATTATCAACATCATCGATCAAATTGAATGATAATAAAATATTGTTGAATAATTTTACATCATCAAAATTATTATTACCAACCACATGGGAACAAACAATACGTTTGACCAATGATAGTCAAAATACTTATTATTATTTAGGTAAATTCTTTTTCTTCATTTCTTCTTTTTCTCGGAAAAAAATTTCAAATTTCAAAATGCATGTGTCTTTGGTGGGTGATAAAAATTTTTTTTCCTTGAAAACTTTTTGTTGTTGTCCAAAAAAAAATATTCAAATCACTTTTTCATTTGAATTTTTTTTGTTCAATAGGAATGATTCTATCATTAGCTGATAATTCATCAAATGGTTATATTGTAAAAAGTATTGATCCAAACGGTGTTATCGGTAATGATGGTCGTATTCATATTGGTGATTATATTGTTACATTGAATGGAAAATCATTACGTGGATTATCGAAAACCGATGTATTGGCCATATTAAATGATTGTGAACAACAATTACAACAATGTAAAAATGATGATATTATGTATGTATATATTGAACAAACACACCAATCTTATGGAAAAAATATTTTACTAATAATCCTGCTATATTTTCTCTCTCTTTCCCTCTCTCCCTCGAATATTCTTTTCGGTTCAAACTAATTCTCTTGCTTTCTCTATCTCTATTTCTATTTGTTTCCAAATTCTTTTTCAAATCCAATCCAAATTCAATCAAATCAAAACGAATCAAATTAAATTGGATTTTTTTTCCTGTTATTCAATCATATTCTCACTCTTTCTCACACACTATATTTGCAATTACTATTTATAGAATCAAATATATACCAAAATCAGTGATTGCCAATTGTTTAACAACAACAACAACAACAATGATGAAACCTGAAACAACAGCTACCATACATGATGATGATGATGATGGTGATGAAAATTCTAATAAACAAGACGATGAAGAAGAAGAATCTTGCAATCATCGAATTGAAAACGATAATTCATTAGAAAATCGATATGAAAATTTAAAAATTGATAAAAATTCATCATTGACAAATACGACAATGAATTCCGTAAGAAAACAACAAAATTCCATTTCTTTAATCAAATCTAGTGAAGATGAATCAATGAAATCGCAAAAGCAACTTGCCCAATCATCCATTACGAATGATTCTAATGTCGACGATGATGATGATGATGATGAAATTTATGATAATGAAAACAATTCAAATCAACAAAGAACAATATTGGCTGAAAAAATGTTTGTAAAAAATGATGATACAATGACAATATCATCATCATCATCATCATCCGTTGCTAAACAATGGGGTGAGGAAATTTTTGTCGAATTAATACGAAGTGAAACAATTGGATTCGGTATCAGTATTATTGGTGGAAAAGAAATGACCAATATGATTTTATTAGATAATGATAATATGAATCAAAATACAGCTACAGCAGCAACAACAACATTATTTTTATCAGGAATATTGATAAAAAAAATTCTACCTGATAGTCCAGCAGCTAAATGTGGTCTAATTAAAATGGGTGATCGTTTATTACAAGTTGATGGTATCGATCTTCGTCATTCAACACATGATAAAGCTGTTGATGTAATAAAAAAAGCAAAAAGTCCGGTAAAATTTTTGATACAATTATTATTACCATTGGTAAGTCGATGAACAAAATTTAACAATTTTTTTGAAAAATTTTAAAAAATTTAAATTCCTTAATTCAATTTTCTTATTTAAAATAGAGTAAACAACAACAACAACATATTATTCAATTGAATAATTCTTCACACCAACAACAACAGCTATTAATCAATGAACAATCATCCGATTTGAATGATAAAAGCAACAACAACAACAACAAAAATAAATTATTTACAAATGATGATGATGATGATCTTCATGACAACGATGTCGAAACTGTTTATATTAATGAGAATAATTCAAAAAGAATGAATAATTCTAATGATAATGATGATATGAATACGATTGAAAGACAAATATCATCACAATCATCATTTCAATCATCGACATTAACATCAAATAATAATAACAACATATGCCAAAAACAAGATGAAGATGAATTGACTATGTCGAAAATGAATCGTTCATTTATCGCATCAACATCAACAACATCAACAACAGTAACAGCAACAGAAAAACATTCACATTTATCATCAGCAACATCAATAGCAACAACAACAACAACAAATGAACAAGAATCCGTCATGAATCTTGTTAATGTTAATCATGATGATGATGATGATCATGATAGTGATGATAGAATGATTGTTGTCAAACAAAAGAATCATAATAATAATAATATTTCATCAAACAAAACAAAATCATCGAAAATAGATATGAAATCAACAAAGCAGAAAAAAGTATCATCAACAACATCGACAACAAAAGTATCATCAACAGCAAAAATCTGTGAAGAATCATTAAAAGATGATGATGTTGTTGATGATGATGATGATGATGATGATGAAAAATTTTCACAAACAAGTGCAGCAAACATACAGCTAACACAATATGAAATAAATGAATCATTGCCTACGGATATTATTGAAGATGAATTTGGCTATTCCATTAGTAAGTGGAAACATATTTTTCTTTTTCTTTCTTTTCATTCACATTCTCTGCATTTCCATTACTTTGTTTTTTTACATTCCAAAATAATAATCTACTATTTGGTTTTATGTCGTTTTTGTTTTCACTTTTTATTCTTGGAAACAAGCAAAATAGAAAAAATTGACAGAAAAAAAAAGATTGTCTTTAATGTCATCCATACTGTGTGTAGATAAACGACGTTACATAAAAGTGTTTTTTTTACTTATCCATGAAACAAAAATATGCTTCGGATGTTTTCTTCATTCATTCATTTAATACATTCCATACACGAATTCTGAAACGTCGTTTTCTGATGTTAGTTTTTTCTTTTATGATTCGTGAAAATCAAATAGAAATTTTTTTCTTCTCACAAATCGATTTGTGAGAAAAACCCCGTTATAAATTCAATGACATGATGATGATGATATTTATGATCAACGAAGAAACGAGAATATGCAAAGAATTCATGAATGTACACCAGAAAAAAAAGCATTAACATCATTCCCCTATATAAATGATACCTAAGAATCTTTTTTTTTTGCATAACAGTATTGAAAAACGAGAAAAAAAATTTTCAATGCCAACCATAATAGAATATTCTCGTTATTCGTTTTTCGTTTCAAAATCAATGAATCTTGTTTGTCGTTGTTGTTGAACATTTTGTATGCGAAATGAAATGATTATTTTCATGAAAAAAAAGTCAAGTTGAATTTTTTTTTCAAGCAGAAACAAAAAACTTTACAAAACTTTTAAAATTCTATTTGAAAACAAAAAATATATAGAATTCAAAAACTATTCAATGAAATTAGCTTGAAAAAATATTATATATTGTTGTATTCGTGTCGCGTTTGTATTTTTTCGTAAACGAAAGAAAAAAAAAGAAAAGGATTCATTTTTCTACAATTTTTGTTTTGTTTTGTTGTTTTCACTTGAAAATTTAATTTGCTTTGTCGTTTTGAAAACTTTTGTATTGGAAAATTTTCTATTTTCAATTCTTCAACACCCACGCACTTAATTCAAATTGCTCATTAGTTGATAGATTTTTTTTTGTTTTGAATTTTTCAATTTAGAAATTGATGGATTTGTATGCGCGAACAAGCGAATGAGACATTAATGATTGAACAGATCGAATTAGCAAGCAAAACATGAAAAATTTAAAATTTGAAATCTTATTTCGGGTTTTGGTTTCAGATTTTAGTTTCAAATTTGGTTGTCTTTCAAAACATGAAATAATCTAATTCATCATCATCATCATTTTTTTTGTTCCAAAATCATTAATAATTGTCAACATTCATTCATTCATTCATAACCGAGTTCTTTCGCATCTGCTGCTTATCTATGTTCGCGTGCGTCAATTTAAAATAAGAAATTTTTTCCCTAATTTTTTTTCCCACCACCACCAACAATTCTGACATTCAATATCCAGGAAAAATGAAATTCTTTTCAATATCATCGACAATAAATTATGTCCTCCTGGCTGCTTAGTTTATTTTAGTTTTCTTCATCCCGAAAAAAAATTTGATAATAATTTCGTAACAAGAAAAACCACCATAAATTTAAATTTTTTATTTATTTTTTTTACAAACACGAAGAACTTATTTTTAAAACTGGGTTACACAATCGATTCAATCGAAAATACTTGTGAAATATAGACCAATTTTTTGATGATGATGATGATGATGGTGGTGGGTAATAATCATTAACATTATTATCATCATCATCATTCACCAACACTTTTATCATTTCCCATTGAAAAAAACTTTCTTTATATTTTCTCACTTTGTACATTTTTTTTCATATTCCCTATTTTCACTTGCACTTATTTCCACGAAGAAGGTAATCAAATTTCTCCTTCTTCTTCGAAAGAAGCGAGAGAAAATTCAATTTCATTTGAAAAAAAAGTGAAAAATTTTATTCACTTTTTTCAAAATTTGATTTTTGGTTTTTGTTTTGTTTCAAAAAATTCTTTTTCTTTCTCGATTATAACATGAATATTCAGAAGTTTGTTTTTGTACGTTAAACGAGTGTGAATTGGAAAAGAAAACTTGAAACATTTGAATAAAACAACATCGGTTATCGATAAGAAACGAAAAGAAAAATTTCAATTTGCTTGTCTAGAAAAAAAAATACAGAATATTCTCTTTTTGTATCGCTAATATCTTATCACAAAAGCTTTAACCGATTCAATATAAAACACACACACACTGATGACATATTTAAAACATTTAACACACACACACATGGATAAAACAAGAATATTGTTTAGAAATCCTTGTCCCACAAATTTTTTTTTTTGCTTTTATTTTGTTAGTGTCTTTTCTTGATTCTTTCTCTCTCACTCACCCGGGAATTTTCCCTCTTATCCCATTATATAATAATAACATTGAACTCGAAAATTTCAAATGTTTTTGTGTCATCCAATTTTCTGTTGTTGTTGTTGTTGTTGCACTTTTAATATATAGAGTGAAAGAGTGAGTTGCTCCAATTTTCACTGTTTTTTCCGTTTTCTGGTTCTCAAATTGTATGGTATATCCCATTTATGTAGTGAATAACTGACTGACTGACTGAAACTGATCTAGCCAACTATACAGTGTTGTTCTGAAATCCAACTATACAGTGATATATCTAAAGATTTTTTTTCCTCGTTCTCTCTCTCTCTCTCTCTCTTTGTCGATTTCCGCATCCATTCATTCATTAAATTTCACCTTTGATCTTTATTTATTAGGGATGTTTTTGTTTTGTTTTTTGTTTTTCGTGCTTTAAATAAATTTCAATTTTTCTTCATTTTATCTGATTTGATTTTTGATTTAATTTGGAATTTTTCTTCTTTTCTTCTTTTCATTCATTAATACACACGTGATTTTTTTGTTTTTCTTTGGTTTTTAAAAGAATTAAATTTTTTTCCGAATGAAAATGACAGAAAGCAAAAACCGAAAAGAAAACTATTCATGAAATTAAAATGAATTCATTATTCATTATTTTTCTGGGAAGGGAGAGAAAAAATTTGATTTTTTTTCCTGGTTCTTTTCGATAATCATTTTTTTCAAATCGGATTTAATTTTCTTTTTGTTATTTTTTTTTCTCAGAAGAAAATTTTCATTTTTCACAAATTTCCCTCCCATTTAAAATTCAAATATTTATTCAAAAATGATGATGATAATACATTCTATGAAAACAAAATAAAAACAAATGTCTAAATCATTTTTGACTGGTTCTCATTCTTGTCATTTCTTCTTTCTGGATCGTTATCGTGGTTTTTTGTTTCAACAGCCAACCAACCAACCAACAACATTATACATGTTTATTTGATTTGTGGATGGTTTGGTCTGGTCGGCGGATGTAAATATTTCATTACATTTATAATGAAAATTTCTAATATATATTTTTTCTTGTTTTCTTTTTTTTTACTCGAAACACAAACACAGATATTTCCTGTTTTTGTAATTCTCTTTATCATGAAAGACAATCTTGTTTGCGGTATTATTTATTTATTTATTTAGAATATATTTACAAATGTCATGTTCAAAAATATCGTTATCGACCAAATTCCTGTGTTTTGTATCTAACCATTCTTATTATTATTATTGAAAAATTTCGAGATAAAAATGTTTGGATTTTTCCTTTTTCTTTACCACTGATGGTTTTGTCATATCATCGCTGATGATGATGATCATCATCTTTTTTGTTTTATCATTCGGTTTGTTGTTGTTGTTGTTGTTGTTACAAACACATTCGATTCTTTTATTGGCTAGACAACAACAACAACAAAATGAATCAAAGCAAAAACAAACGACAACAACAACAACAAAAACAATCTTGTTTTGTTATTATTGGTGGTAAAAACAAAAACAAAAATCTTCTAGAATAGAAAACGATCCAAAAGAAATGATGAGGAGGATAGAAAAACACATAACAACAACATCAAGATTGTATAATGTTGGTTGTTTTTTTTGGTTTGTTTTTATTACGATTTGTTCATTGTTCTGGTTTTTTGTATGTTTGTTTGTTTGTTTTTTCTGGTGTTTCTGGTTTTATGTTATTGTGGATAACAATCATTTTTTTGGATCTACAAACAAAACATTGAAAAAAACAACAAATAGAAAACAGGAAAAATTATACAGAAATAACATTTCCATATCGTAATTTTTGTTGTTGTTGTTTGGCCAATTAAAAAAGAAAACTTCTGAGAAATTTTTTTTTATTAAAAAACATATCAAAATCATTGAAACAAAAAAAAATCGTTGTATCAAGCCAGAATAATGATCCGAAATGTGATTTATTAAAAGTTGTATCAATCAGCTAATGAAAAAAATACAATAAAAAGCAGCCATTTATATATGTGAAGAAACAAAATATTGTCCATTGGTTGTTTGATCATTCGATGAGTCTAGTCATTACCGGTACAATTTTTTCATTTTTTCTTTCAAAAGATTAATAAACTCGTAATTTGAAAAATCGTTATTTGATTCATAATTTCCAATTAAATCAGATGGTACCGCAATCTGTGTTCCGTAAATTATTTCTGCTGAACTTGTATTTATTCGTTTGAAGTATTTGGATTCCCAAGTGAGGCTTCAATTTATTTGGATTTTTTAGAAATCTTTCTTTTGTTATTTTTGAATCCGTGAACAATACAATTTTGCGATCGGGAAAAATAGGTTTGACTATTTCCATAACTCGAATACCGACCATCAACGCCATGAATTCTAGTTCCGGTATTGTTGTTTTATTTGATAAATAATTTTTTGCTAGTAACAATAATTTTTCTTCGTTATTTGCCAAATACGCTACTGCTCCGTATGCTGTAGCTGATGCATCACAATATATCACATTGAAATCTTCTCGTAAAACAGTTCATAAACCAAGTAAAACTAATGGTAAAGCCAATTCCCAATAATTTTCGTTTACGGCCATAATCGATGCTTTTAATGATCGGTGAAATCTTTCAACTAATCCATTGGCACGAGGATTGTAGGCAACAG